TGCTGAAATCTATCTCCCTGCTGACCTTTAGCTCCCATCCTGTGACCTCTGACCCCTGTGCACAATCTCTCGTGCCAAGCCTAGGTCTTAAAGCTGGGTGTTTGTACGTCATCCAGGGGCTAATCCTGTTAAACAGATGAGCCCGTCTGAGCGTGCCCAGAAAGGCCCACCGTAGAACAGTAACAGAGCTGATCGCTGTGGGACACTTCCTGTGGGAGGGGCTAACAGGGACAGTCTGTGCCAGGACACCGAGAACAGGACTAAAAGGATCATATTAGGGACGCACCGAGCCTGCCTTTTCACTTCCAATACCGATTCCGATACCATGGATTTAAATATCCAATTTGGCCAATACCTGATATCAACCCATACCAGTACAGTGACTCAAAACAAAAAATAAAATAAATAACAGTCCACTTTTATCTTTTCTCTATAAGTAACAACAGAAATACTTTGTATAAATAGAAATGCAAACACTGACTTTTTCCAGGCCAACTACAACTGTGTAAATAGTTGTATTAAATCATTAAAGATGCCCAACCAGGATATCCAAGTGGAAGACACTTATCCGGGGCCGGGTCACAGGGGCAGCAGTCTAAGCAGGGACTCCCAGACTTCCTTCACCCCAGACACATCCTCCAGGTCTCCAGGTCAGCTGAGAGACATGGTCCCTCCAGTGTGTCCTGGGTCTTCCCCTGGGGCCTCCTCCCAGTGGGACATGCCCGGAACACCTCCCGAGGGAGGCGCCCAGGAGACATCCGGGACAGATGCCCGAGCCACCTCAACTGGCTCCTCTCGATGTGGAGGAGCAACGGCTCTACTCTGAGTTCCTCCCTTGTGACTGAGCTCCTCACCCTATCTCTAAGAGAGCACCCAGACACCCTGCGAAGGAAACTCATTTTGAGCGCTTGTATCCACGATCTCGTCCTTTCGGTCATTACCCTGAGCTCATGACCATAGGTGAGAGTAGGAACGAAGACTGACTGGTAAATCGAGAGCTTTGCCTTTCTGCTCAGCTCCCGCTTCACCACAACGATCCGATACAGCGACCGCATCACTGCAGATGCTGCACCGATCCACCTGTCAATCTCACGTTTCGTCCTCCCCTCACTCGTGAACAAGACCCCAAGATACTTGAACTCCTCCACTTGAGGCAGGGACTCTCCACCCACCCGGAGAGGGCAAGCCACCTTTTTCCGGTCGAGGACCATGGCCTCGGACTTGGAAGAGCTGATCTTCAGCCCAGCCGCTTCACACTCGGCTGCAAACCGCCCCAGTGCACATTGCAGGTCCTGGCTTCACCAGGATATCCACTGAATCAATATTAGGAAGCTGATATTGGATCCAGTAAAATTTTCAGTATCTGTGCTGATATTTGATACCAGTATCGGATTGGTTCATCCTTAATCATATGCAGTACAGAACGCAATCATCTACACTCAAGCCAAAAGCTTTCATCAACCTGCTAATGACCTCACAGCGCCCTGTCGTCTACTGCCCATTGTTAAACACCAAAAAACGTCTTCATGTACGTCTCAAAATGTACCACATGTCAATAGAAGCAATCAATTGTTTTTCTTAATGGAGTAGACCTTGACCTGGTCCCAGAATTTGAACACCTTGGAGTTATTCTAGATCCAGTATTGTCCTTCAAAAGTCATGTTAAGAAAGTGTCCCACATATAATCCAATTCAATAATCAGAATTTTCATCACATCAGACATTCTTTAGACAATAGAATGTGATTATCAACTTTAAATGGTAGAACTTTCTTTTCTCTTCTCATGTGTGTTATATGTGTGTAATGGTCAGTGTTGAGTAGGTTCATGTTGGTCCATGTGTGTATACTAGTCTATGTGCTCTGACACTTGTTCTGATACAACTCAACATCATTCTAAACACATTCAGGAAAGGTGTATTTCTGTCTTTCTGGACTTATTAGTATCGATATTTGCTCATATTAGTGTCTAGTTTCGGTGCTAGTTTGAATTAGTCAGGCTGGCGCCACCTAGTGTCTCCGCTCAATTTCACTTCTCTCCAGTGACTAGGTCAGGAATCAGAATACACTAGACCAGGGGTGCTCAATATGTCCATCGCGATCTACCAGTTGATTGGCAAGGTCGTGTGGGTAGATCGCCGTGTCTCTTCTTGGACTCGCCTTTGGAATCAGTCTTGTCTCTCACTCGAGGTCTGACACTCAACAAGTGTGATCATATTTCATTACGGCCGCTGCTGTTGGTAATAAACTTGTAGCGGGGTGCAGGAGCGTGTGGGGCGTCTCAGTGCAGCCTGTGCGCTCATTTGAAACCCGCGGAGACTCTACGGCACATCACAAACACACACGCTCCCTATGCACGGCTCGTCTGCAACAGCGTGTGCCCTCGTGTACCAGCGTGCATCACAGGGCAGGTTCAACTTCCTAAACATCCTACCTGTCCATCTGCCTCACGTCAGCACGCCGCCCCTCGCCTTTTCACGCTCTCGCTCCTTCCTGCGTACAGCGAACACAAGCCCCTCCCACAGTGCGGCTGATTAGAAGAGCAAGACCAAACGTGAAGCAAAAACCAGTCTAAATTTATGTTCCAGTGTTGGCACAAAGCAGGTCTACAGCATAGAGCAGATCTACAGAACAGACCTACTGCCACATTTGGCTGAAGTTTGCCTAACAAAAGTGCACAAATGCATCTGTGTTTGTCACGATGTGCGTTTGGTTTGGTAAACGTGCAGAGGCTGGTAAATATCACTGCAAAACCAGAAAAGAATGCAACTCCAGTTTGGAACTTTAAAAAACAGGTTTAAAAATCTTCCTTCACTTTTTTCACAGTTTTGTGTAAAGTGCCAGAGGAAGTTCTCTTAATGAAGGGGTTCTCAAACTGTGGGTGAGGGTCCAAAAAAATGGCACAGAGTGTTTCAGTGCAGTTTGCTTGGCTTTGTATTAGGTAGATCATTTTGAAAATGGGTGAGCACCCCTGTACTAGACGGTTTGCAAAAACCCCAGAAGTACGAGTTCTGGCACCAGCCAATCAGAAAAGAGCCAGACATTCTGTGTTGGCAATGATTCCCGAGATCGAGGATTTAAAACCAGAATAAAGAAAATGTTTGGTGAATTTGATCAAGATGTTATTGTCCTTCTTCCTATGGGATTTGGGAAAAGATTCATATACCAGTTAACCCCGTTAGCGGCGCATTACATATGTTACAACAAAATAGCAGCAAAGTTTCTATGAAGTGAAACTGGCTGATGAATCAGGCTAAATTTGAATATCGATTAGTACCAGGCCATAGTTCTGTGTAAAGTGTCCTCACATTTGAATTTCTGTTTACATTTTTGCATTTTTGTTTTTTTTCCTCAAACTGCCTCTATGATACAATGAAATATGATAAAACTATGAAAACCATTTACACAGGTTGACATGTGTAGTACTCTGAATACTCGTTATTCCTCTGGAATAAAGTCAGGACACACAACATCCCAAACCTCACACAGCAGATGCTGTTATTAAAGCCTGTCTGTCTGTGGAGAGTAAATCCACAGATGAGCACCGGATGGATGGAGGGAAGGAGAGAAAGAGAGAGAGAGAGAGAGAGGTAGTGGGAGAGGGGAGAGGGGATGTGGGACAGGACTGAGCACGTTAAAAAGTAGGCCTGTCTCCAGCCCACCTCCTCCTCTCAGCTCTGCTCTCTCTGTTCACAAACCTCCAATCTACTGATTCCATTTATTACCACATGAGGGCTTTATGACAACATGAGTGTGAGATCTGAACTAACATGTTTATAGAAATGCACAGAACTCCTTGGCTGTGATGAAGATTACCTTAGAGTGGCCATCATGTTCCTCACCTGCTCCTCACCAAAACACTCAAGGGACAATGTGAAGCTGTTTTCTCTGTGTTATCATGTCGTTTCCTCATCACACACACACCTGGAGTTGTGTTTTGTTTCATTCACACATGTTTAACCTTTCACATTTAGGCTGAGTTGTTTTCTCAAACACTTCCACCTTGTGATGTCATGTCACACCTTCAGTAGAATCAGTGGCTCATTTCAGCCCTGGAATCTCTTGTCTCTACTGAGCTAAAGGGAAAAGGACAAGTTCACTTAAAATCCTCACAAAGTGGAACAGAGTATGTGGAGCTTTGGAGAGGATTACCCAAAGATGTGAGAATGAAACAAAACACAACTCCAGGTTTGTTTGGATGAGGTCACAAGATTCTAACTTGTCTTAAACATACACACACATACACACATCACACACATCACACACACACACACACATACACACATCACACACATACACACACATACACACACATCACACACACACACACACATACACACATCACACACATGCACACATCACACACATACACACATCACACACACACATCACACACATACACACATCACACACACATCATACACATACACACCACACACATGCACACATCACACACATACACACACATCACACACATACACACACATACACACACACACATACACACACATACACATACACACACACACATCACACACATACACATACATACATACATACATACACACATCACACACACACACACATACACACCACACACATGCACACATCACACACATACACACACACATCACACACATACACACACATACATACACACACACATCACACACACATACACACACATCACACATACATACATACATACACACATCACACACACATCACACACATACACATACATACATACATACACACATCACACACATACACACATGACACACATGACAGGTGTGTGAAGGGTCTTGTTGAAGAACACAATAGTGTGCACTGCACTAACTGCTGTTTGGGCTTTCATGAATAAATCTCTCTGTCTGTACGTGCCAGGCTGGAAGAGTCTGCATCTGTAGTACTCTTGTACTGAGTACTGAGTACTGTAGTACTCTTGTACTGAGCCTTGTGTCTCTGTCCTTCAGGATTAACAAGTCAGAGGTCGCCCACAGGTCAAAGGTCACCCACAGGGACCAAGCCCAAGATCACCCTGGACCCCTACATCCGACTCAAGGCTGACAAGCTGGACCTGGTGAGTCTGGACCCAGGTGCACTGTGTCACTTTTTGACTGGGGGTTCATCACCTGCTCGTTTCTCTGGACCATTAGTCTGCCTGGAATGTTCCACAGTGTGACATTAAACAGTTCTACCTTACATTTATTCAATTACATGTGGTTTTATAGGCCAAACATACCTGGGAAATAGGCATCTTGGTCTGGTTTGGCGTTCATGATGTTAGAAAGGTTTAACTTCACTCTGTGAAATATTTTAGACAAAGCAATTTCCATGGAAAAAAACATCTGATGGACCCTCCACCAGAAAAGTTACACAAGTTGAGTTCAGATTTCATTTTTTATAATTAGTACAGAAGTATCCTGGTTTAGTTCTTGTGTAAACATTGGTTTAGACCTGATATAACCTGGAGGTAAACATTTTCACTCTGTGTACAAACAGTGAGAGCAGCTCAGGTTTAAGCACAAATGTAACTAGATGGAACTAGATCTCTGTGAATCTCTGAACATCACACATGGTCTCCTGATTGAGTCTAAGGGTCCAGCTCAGAGACGTCTGTTCCCACTGTAGTCTGGACATCCAGACAGTGAGCAGCTCACACGTGTCTGACCCGTCTGTGTTAGAGTGGAGTAGCATAGTATATCGCAAAAATATTCTCATGCACATTTATGTTTTGATTTAAATGAACTTACTGTGCAAAAAAGAAGATTCTATGATGAGATGTTGAGAAGAGTGAAGGGGATGATGAGAAGCTGAGGGAAATTTACACATTTTCTGCAGCAAAAGTGTAAAAAGAGTCACATTTTTGGGACATTCAAAACAGAAACGTGAAAAGAGCAGGGTTCAAAGTTCTTGTTTTTTTCATTGTCATATTAGATATTAAAAATATACAGAGGTGATTTTGGATATCTTATTTATTATTTGAATAAACTAGATTTGACTGAAAACATTAAACTTTAAAAGAAATGATTATTGATCTGTGTATGTGCCCTGCAGGCCCTCCGCTTCCTGGGGTTAGAGGTCACAGAGGAGCAGAGGAACAAACTCCGACTGGTTCTGAGTCCAGACCCCCAGGGCACTGTGTCCTATGGAGGTACGCCCCCTACATGTCGTCCTACACACGTGCGCCCCCTACACGCCGTCCTACACACGTGCGCCCCCTACACGCCGTCCTACACACGTGCGCCCCCTACACGCCGTCCTACACACGTGCGCCCCCTACACGTCGTCCTACACACGTGCGCCCCCTACACGCCGTCCTACACACGTGCGCCCCCTACACGCCGTCCTACACACGTGCGCCCCCTACACGCCGTCCTACACACGTGCGCCCCCTACACGTCGTCCTACACACGTGCGCCCCCTACACGCCGTCCTACACACGTGCGCCCCCTACACGTCGTCCTACACACGTGCGCCCCGACAGTCCGGACACACAGTTGACTTATATTCTCCATTAGACGGAAATGAGGCTTGTAAATATGTGAGTGAGAACTAGTGCAGGGGTGTCCAAACTTTTTTCATCAAGGGCCACATCTCTAAACACAGATGAAGCAGAGGGCTAATCGAGGGCCACAGACTGGAGCTCAGTACAGTGAATAATTGAAATATGTGCATGTTTAACATGTTAGAATGAGCCATCAGTCCTTTTTTCATGTTAAGATCCTCAAAACCACACACTAAATATTAAATTTTAGATTTATCAAGGCAGATTTTCAAAAAAACTTACATTATTCATTCATTTTTAATTGATGTAAGGTAATTTGGGCCAATTCACCTGGAAGCCTGAGGGCCAAGAGAAAATTGTCTGAGGGCTGCATTTGGCCCACGGGCCATAGTTTGGATATGCCTGCACTAGTGAGTGAAAGGAGCAGTGTGATTAGTCTAACAGGTATTCGCTTTTAATGAATTCTAAAAAAAAAAACTGTCCAAAATGTGCAGTTTGTACACTTGCGTAGTGCAAAATATCTGTGCAGTGTGTCTCAGGCCTTTATATATATATATATATATATATATATATATATATATATATATATATATACACACATACATATATATATACATAGTAGTAGTATATAGTAGTATGTACTATATGTAGTAGTAGAAAGCTGCAAATATAGAGTTTATAGTAAAATTGCCAAAAATTACATGGAACAGTACATGTAGGATATAGTTCCACTTGAAGTATTATTTTAGCTGCTGTGCTCTGGTCTTTTCGTGTGCTGAATGTCTCTGAGCAGCATGACTTTGTCCTCAGACTTTGTGGAGGCCACGCGGAGCCTCTACCAGGAGCGTCTGGAGGAGCTGGGTATGGGGGCGGGGCCTTTCATGTTCACCTATCAAGAGGCAGCCAGCCTGATGGACACGTCCGCCTTCCATTCCCCGGTGAGCACTTACTCAGGCCTGTTGTTCTTCTGTCTGCTGTATAGTTATAATCTGTGACAGCCATGGATCATTATGTTTTCATTCAGATGTTTTAAATCACAACATTTGATATGAAATGACAAACAGTGAACATGAACAAGTGGTAAAAACAGAAGCTGACTGGCAATATGGTGTCTTAATAAGTGATTAAAGATCGTTCAAACATGCACGAATCACCCCAAATACAACTTCAGAACATCAGTGGTGAGGGGGAACAACAGTTGATTTAGCAAAATAGGTCTGCTTTAAAAAGTACTAGTAACAGTACAAGTAATGATTGTGGCAGTGCATTTTTTGTGTGTATATTTACTAACCTGAGTATGTTGGCACAGACGTACGAGTCGGAGTGCAGCTGTAGCTCAGAGGAGATGGAGAGCTTTCAGTCTGAGGTGCGACAGCTGCAGAGCCAGATGAGGCAGCTCAAGGTTGGCGTACCTCCTCTTACCTCCTCTTACCTCCACTTACCTCCACTTACCTCCTCTTACCTCCACCTGCCTCCAACTGTCTTCTGCTCCATAGTGTTAGATGTTTAAACCTCTGCTTTGTCTAAACAGTTGTTGCATTGTTTCAGACTGTGTTAAAAGACATGGAGAGCAGTAAGAAGACTCTGGAGGTGGAGCTACAGAAGACCTCTGAGGTAACAGCCAATCACAGAGCTTGTTATGTCCATGCAGGAGAAAACAGCCAACAAAAGGACCAGAGTCCTTCTGGACATTAGCACCAAACACATCTGTATACATTTCAGCAGGGAACACATGCAGTACTGTTTTCTGGAATGTTTATTTTGGTGGAAAAAAAAGAAAAGATTTCCCACATAGATGTCTGTGTCAAAAAAGTATCTTAATACTTCCATGATTATAAAGTTGTGGTTATATGATCAGTGCTCACACATGCCTCTGCCTTTTGTGGGGTGAACCCTGCATATGTACAACAGCAGATTTGACTACAAGAGCTCGAGCATGAAACCAACTATGGACCTCTGAGATTCTACAGACGTTTCCCACCAAATGCAACCAAAGACATTCCAGAGGAAATACTTTGACAGAATCTCCTGTCTAATCACTGACCCAAACAACAAAGAGCAACAGAGCAGAGTGAGAGATTTAGGACAGGGCTTTGTTTTTGTGTTCTCCTGGCTCCCCCTGGTGGCTGCCTGTGATGCTGCAGGACACAGAGGAGTAACTTGTGTGTTACTCAAAGTGCCCTGACACAGATCTGCTGACCCTCGTGGATCAGTTGTCCTGTTTAACTGCACTCAGACCTTTGAGTGAGACACAAAGGCGCTGTGTAAATGCTGCTCTCTCTGCTGCTGCTCTGTGTGCGCAGAAGGCGTGTGTGACGGTGGAAGAGAATGTCCGGCTGCGCTCTCGTCTTCAGGCCGTGGAGCAGAGGGGCAGCAGCAGCGCAGAGCAGGACTACGAGGAGGTCATTGGGCTCCTGGAGGCTGAGATCCGGGATCTCAAGAACCAGCTGGGAACGAGGAAACCCGGAGCAGGGGCCAAGGTTCGTGTCCACCCAACACGCCCTGACTGTGTACAAATGTAGAGGTGTTTTATCCCAGCACCACAAGCCTCGTGGCTGTAGTAGTACTTGTGTAATTATAAAGTATATATTACAATCACTAATACCCACAGTTTATCACCACAGCGTATGGTTTGTCACTGTCAGATATGGCTGTGTTTGTGGAGGAGGAAGTACGGAGGCTATAACTGTGGGCTGAGTCTTTTTATATGAACAGATTCAATGTTCTTTCCCTAAAGACTCGCACGCTGCCAGAAGCATTACTGAGAAGAACATACGTCAGGTGGTGATAAAAAAAAGATGGCAAACAAGGGGCTTCATACGGGACACACTTGGTAGATAGTCTAACAATACGAAAGAAAAATAAGTAACATCTGGTTTTGGGGAGGGCGTAGACACAGCCACTTGCTGTGCACATATAATGCATCATTAAGAGTTTACTTTAAAATGCAAAATCCAACAGTCTGGAAACAGTTTGCAGTCCAGAATAATGTTCTACATCTCACATGCTGTCAGTCTTACTCACAGAGTTACAGGCACAAACCCTGGATCAACGAACACATCTATAGATTCAACAGCGCCAAACACTTTTCTCTGCACATTTCAGTTCATGAGAAATCCCCACTGATGAATCAGGCCTCATGGATTCTTCTGGGTTTTCTGATAACAAAAAAAATATATATATTATATATACATAGAATTGACCTTTGACCTCAGAGTGTATGAGACTGTGTGAGACAGGAGCGCCCTGTCAGCACTTCTGTGTGTGTGTGTGTCTGTGTGTGTGTGTGTGTGTGTGTGTGTGTGTGTGTGTGTGTATGTCACTCCTCATCTGCTCTCTAAGCTGTTTTACACTGGGATGTCATTATTTTTACTTAATAATGTCAATGTCATGCATACAGGACTTTCTCCTACATGTACACTGACTTGTTGTGAATCCTCTGACCCCTTCTGACCCCTCTGACCCCTCTGACCCCTTCTGACCCTGTGTATCTGTAGGAAGACGTGCGTGAGCTGACCCGCCGACTGTCCACCATCGACTCACAGCTGAGGAGGTCCGAGGTCAGTCGTAGACACCTGGAGGTCTCCAACCGCAAACTGCTGGGGTTTGCACAGGTACAGAGGGGGGGGTCAGAGTATGGGGGGGGAAGTCAGGGGGGTTTGACCACATATGGGGGGGTCAGGGGGGGTCAGGGTTTTTGCACAGGTACATGGGGGGAGTCAGAGGGTTTTGCACAGGTACAGAGGGGGAGTCAGAGGATTTTGCACAGGTACAGGGGGTCAGGGGGGTCAGAAGGGTGTTCACAGGTAAGGGGGCGGGTCAGAGATGCATGTGTCCTGGTTTACCACTGTCAACACGACTACTATAACATATCATACAGTATTATGACACTTTTGTTGACTGCACAACTTACACATACACGTATAATTAAAATATAAACTATATATTATCCCTTTTCCTCCACTGTGTCTTTCAGAACGTCCACAAAGTGCTGTCCACTCCCAACCTGTTGTGTGCAGAGACGGGGTAAGTCCTGGTCTCTTGTGCCCACAGTGGTCAGTATATACTTGTACATATATGTGTATATGTGTGTAACCCTGTGTGCTCTGGTCCACAGCAGTCACTCCTCCCCCTCCGCAGACTCCCCTGACTCCCCCCGGGACCCTGCCCTACAGCTGGCTGTGGAGGCCAAGGAGCTGGTGGAGAGTGCGGGAGCCCTGACAGAGGACCACAAAGGTACAGTCCACGTACAGCCCACACTCACCCGGATTTATCTAATGTAGCTGTATTACATGTGTGTGGGGGGGCTGGTTTGAGGCAGGGGGTCCAAATATGTAAAACTGGTACCCAGAACCTGGGACCCCCACAGTTAAATGGAATGGTTCCTCATTTTAAAGGAACAATATGAAACTTTTCCTGTGGAGACTCCACAACCTGCTTACCTCTGTGAGGATGTTGTTGTCTTCCCTGAAATGAAGCAAAGTATGGCATTACATGTATCTTCTCCATGGAGATGAGCATGTAACATCACCAGGCCAAATTACAGGTCAGATCTGTAAATATGCAAGCTTTTCACTGTAGTTTTGTACTGTGTACAATAATACCTTGCATAAATGGTACCTTATATAAGCTCTACTTTCTCCAAGTTTGGTCCATCCTTTAAGGCCACTGGGGAAACTGTCAGGAGCAGTGGACTCCACAGATCTGTGCTCAGGGTCCAGGCTCCAGATGTTGAGCTAGTCTTGGACAGGACTACCTCAGCTGGAGGGTGCATAGATCTTTAATGCCATTCTGTGGGAAATTCCAGGGTGAGCAATAACAAGTCTGTGGACACAAGCAGGTGGTGCACCCTCCACTAGAAAAGAAAGTTTCACAGTGCATATTTGAACAATATTATCTACTTTACTAATGTACACTTTTATATAACCCAAGTTAACAATTCTGTTCATTTTATTTTACATTAAATACAATATCTAAATCTCAAAATGTCCAGCTCAGGGCTTGGACCCCCCTGGGGAAAGCACTGGTAGGAAAGACCTATGGCACAGATTGTGTGTCATGTCTTTCAGTCCCAGGTTAGATGTGACTACAGTCTGCTCCAGTCTTTTCTACTAAGTATGAGGAGGGAGTGACTGTGCAGGGACTGTGAGTGTGCAAAGAAGAGTTCAAAAGTAAAACCATCTCATTATTGTCAGTGTAATCCCTCAGTGATCAGGAATGTTCCGCAGTAAAAACCTCTCAGCAGTGATCATCTGAACTGGGCTTTACTTTACTTTATCCTTTTTAACTTTATTTTACTCTACTTTTTTACTTGACTTGACTTGAAAGTTGTGTGTCTGAGTCTTGTTCTGATCCTCACAGGGAGCAAGGAGGAGGAGGCCCCGGACATCAGCATGTGAGGCCAGGACTGTGGGAGGCCCGGGACCTGCCGGAGAACAGGCTCTGAACCTAGGAAACAGGCAACACACCCAGCAATAATGCCCCCCCCCCTCCCCCGTCGGACAGCCCACTTTCCGTTTTAATGCCAAAGCCGCTCTCATTGGACAATACGGTTAGAGGTCAAATGGCCCGGGACTCTTCAGCGGACTGCCAAACAGACCAGCTCAGGACCCAAAAGTGCATGAGTCCAAGCCCATGTTTTACTTTTCCATTGTGTACTGTCCATAGACTGTGTAGAGAAGTGGACTAAGGGACACCATAATTTCCATCATTTAAACTGAGTTGAGACCTGTCAGAATGTTCAGGTGGAGTTTGCTGTAAGTGTCAGATGGTTGGATGGTTCATATCTCTGTAATTTTTGGGCCTATCTTCATAAAACAAAGCTGACACAAAGTTCAATGTCTTTTCTGTCAGGAGAAATAAACAGGAGTTAGATTATTTTCTTCACCATAGCTTCAGAAAGTGGTGCCATTATTCAACCCCAGAGTTTGTGGATCTAGTCCTCAACAAATAAGGCTTAGCAACAAGGCATGATAGCTGTCAATCAAACCTGTCGCTGACTTTAGCTGGAGGCAACGAAAGAAGGCACCTGATTGGTCTGTTTTTATTCTTCGTACATTGATTTACAGACAAAATAGTGAAATAAAAGCCCCAGGATCACGCAGAGAGTGTTAAAACAAACAGACAGAAATCTTTACAGACAGAGGGGTCACATTTTTTCAATAGAAAGTTAATTGGAACCAGAGTTTATGGAGCCAGTTCATAAGCAGCAAGCAGGTTAGGTAGGTCCACTTCTATATACAGTCTCTGGTCCTGTCCTGCTGCATGTGAGAGGACAGCCAGGCCCCTCCCCCATGCATGCTCCACCCCCCCACCCCCGCCGTGGCCCGTACTGCGTTCAGAGGCGGCTCTCGTACTTTGGGAAAGTGTGGCAGAGGTGAGCTTCCACACAGTCCCTGAACTCATCGCTTCATCGTGTGGCCTCTTGTTTGTTTTACTGTTTTATAATAAATGACGACAGACTGACCGGTGTCCAGACCCTCCTTTAATGAACGCACACACCCGGAGACAAATATGTCACGCACATGTGGGCGGCTCCGATTATTGTTAAAGGTTCTACATTACCAGTGTTGGGAAGGTTACTTTTAAATGTATTCCCCTACAGATTACAGATTACATACACCAAAATGTAGTTTGTAACGTAATCCATTAAATTACTTAAAGTGAGTAACGTAATCTGAATACTTTGGATTACTTGATTTGCTGTAGAGAAGCAAAGATGAGTCTTTACTTAACCAAATTAAAAATATTATTGATAGAAGAGGAGGAGACACAGTCCATGCAGCATGATTTAGTCCTGTTAAATCCTGTTTTAGTCCTTGTTTTAGTCCTGGTTTAGTCCTGGTTTTTGACCTGGTTTTAGTCCTGGTTTAGTCCTGGTTTTAGACCTGGTTTTAGTCCTGGTTTAGACCTGGTTTATACCTTGTTTTAGTCCTGTTTTAGTCCTTGTTTTAGTCCTTGTTTCAGTCCTATTTTAGTCCTGTTTTAGACCTGGTTTAGACCTGGTTTTAGACCTAGTTTAGACCTGGTTTAGACCTGGTTTTAGTGTCCAGCAATGAGTGGAATTACTGGAAAAAAAAGAAGAAGAAAAAAAAAAGGGATATAGCCCAAAATGTGAAAACAGGAAAATACCTTTGTGTAATCCATTTATTTCAACAAAGTAAATGTAATCTAATTACCACTCACCGAAACAGTAACTGTAAATGAATAGTTACTCATAATTAGTACTCTGATTATGTAACTCCGGTACATGTAATCTGTTACTCCCCAACACTCTACATTACGCAAAATAAACTCTTGTGAGCTGTAAACTATCTTGTTACCTCATAAAAACAGATTTTCAGCAATTTCAGATCTGAAATCATCCAAATGATTCTAGTGAAAGTGTATGGAGTTTAAATACTCAGTGGAGCACTTCCTGTATTACCACATGACATCACAGGGTGGAACAGAGTGGTTTACTTGTCAGAGAAGATGCCTAAATATGAAGTGTCTTTGTGTTAAATGTGTGAATGAAATAAAACACAACTCCAGGTTTGTGATGAGGAAACAACTTTAGAACATAGATCAGAACATAGTGAAATATGAGCCCTTTAAAAGCACTGTATGAAGGATTTTAATTTTAAATTTCATAAACTTGACCTACCTGTGTCCTGTGACGAGGTAAACATGTTCACATAAAAACCAAAATAGATTATAAAAAGCAAAACGCAGAAAGAGCCTCACATGACGCTCTCATTTGGGTTGTTTGGGTTCAACGCTGAAATCCAGTTGGTTTAAACCTAAAATGTCTCTCTCTGATCTCAAGCGGTCGCTGTCTAAACTCCAGCACCTCCATCAGTCATGAGTCAGTGCTAGTGCAGCCTCTGCAGCTCAGGGAGGGAGTTCTGGAGGTTTGGTGCTTTCACATGAGGCATGTTCTGTCCATGTATGAGGCAAAGTTAGATGTGTCTCTATCTGCTGTGGAGACACAGTTTCAGTTGTAGGTTCAGACTGTAGTACCTTTTTTAATACAGAATGCAGGTTACAGTTTTTTTAATCTGATAGTGAAGGAATTTCTACGTTAAACATTTGTTACGCTGCCAAGTGTGGAGAGCCAAAAAGCCAGAGCACCACCTACTGCTCAGGAGGAGACATTTCAGTTGTCCAAAAATGAAATACAGAAATCACCTAGTTCTGATTTAGTCCCATCTCAATCTGTGGTTTAGTTTAGTGCACAAACAGGAGGTGAGATGGGTCTGGGGTTCAGGAAGTCTCAGAAGAAGAAGCAGATGGAGAGAGGAACCACAGGGTCACAGTGCAGGGAATGAACATTCACACAGTAGAGCTCAAGATGAACTGCAATCTTATAAACTGCAATTATGTCCTCTGCAAACAACAAAATACCCTGTACAGTCATGAGTACCCCGTGGTTTAGACCTCTACAAACATGTTCTGAAATACATGCGATTCTTGGATCAGTTTTGCAGTTAATATTTCAGTCTCCAAACGTTAATGCTACTGAACATGTTTAAAATGTGATTTCTGAACACAATCCAAGAATTCAAATCACAAATGTAATCTTAATTGCATTTAGACATTCTGTTAAAATGGTTCAGGTCTCACACAAGCACATACTTTAAAAAAAAAAACCTTTATTGTTTCCATGGTATTTCCATTTTTGAGAATTCCAACTAAAATTGTTCTTTTAACATAAAATATATAAAAATATCTTAAAAAGTGATATTCTGTCACAATCATTCAGACAAAAACACACTACATTATTTTTATGAACAATTCTCACTATAATTTAAATGAAAGCTCTACTGTGGAACTTTTGTAGTGGAGGTCTACCATTGTCTCCATGAAGAGGTTATTGTCCGGTCTTGAATTCTCCACATTATGGCATTAAACTCATCTTTCTTGCATTTATTGATTACTTCATATACCAGATGCACCTTAAAAACATTCAACTCTGTGTCAAATTGTCACCAGATTATCTCCATGGAAACAGTTTAATGCCATACTGTGAAACCAGTGATTCCAGACAAAATAATAACCAGTGGCAGGGTGTCAGGGCCTTCAAGGCCTTCTCTGCTGGCCTAAAAAAATATCTGTTAATTATATTATTATTAAATAACACGTGTATTTTCATATTAAAGCATTTGACCAATCACATTTCAGCTGTCACTTGCCAGGCAGAGTCAAAGTCAAAGAAGTGTCTCTGAGGCCTTCACAATCCGTTCTGCAGGACATCGAACACAAAACAAATGAAACTGTTGCTTCAACCAATCAGATTAAGTTGGTGTCACCAGGACCTTCTAGCAGTGAACAACGTCACCAGATTCAGACCTGTGATTGGACAGTCAGAGCGAACCAGCCAAAGCAGCAAAATGCATCTGTAGTGAAACCAGCACTAAAACTCTAAACAAGGTCTAAATCAGGACTACACCAGGACTCATCTTGGACTTGAGAGAGAGCGAGAGCAAGCGAGACAGCGACTGAGAGAGTGTCCGCAAAGCGTGATCGGGCAACAGCTGCACTGAGCCCTGTGCAGCGCAGAGCCCCGGCCCCGGCACAGTCCTTTCGTCTGCGGTCACCTGACAGTCTACGTGGGCGCACCTTCAGGCCAGTCCTGACAAACAGTCCTGTTTTAGTCCTGGCTTATTCCTGGTTTAGTCCTGGTTTAGCCCCGGTGCTCCTCACTTCTTCTCTGCGCACCGCGTACCCCCATCTCCTCACTTCTCTGTGCACAGAATCTCCACCACACTTTATACTGTGTTTCTGTATAATAACATGCTTTTATAACCATAAAATAGTTCGTGAGGAATGTACTGTTTCAGACAGAGCACGACTGAAGGCCCAGGTGTAAAATGCTCACTCCACCACTGGTAATAACAAGCAAGGTCAGAAAAGTTACATAGTGCTTTTCAATACTGTAAAAAACATCCTGGTGTAAGTATTACCAACATAATGACACGGTGCTGAAAGTAACTGGGTCCAGAGAGAATCTAGCAAGGCTATAACATAATTTATGAAACACACATTTAAATCAAAACATAGGTCTCTAACTCATAATGGAAGACAAAACAAGTCTAGAGCCATTTTCCAGCCCTGTAGTAAGAAATCTCCAAAAGTCAAACTCACAAATGTTTCTTTTCCTGATAATTTCTATCAGTAACAAGGTCCATTGTCCCACTGTATTTCTCCAACCACAGCAGAACGTGGGAGGGCAGCAGACACACCACAACATCTGCAGATGAACTATACACATGTGACCTGCACACGTCTCAGTTTAATACTACAGGAGGATGGGACGGCGTCTGACACACACTGCTCAGGTGCTCAGTTTGTTCATGAGTCTGTCTTAGAACATAGTGTAGCCCTTGAATCCAGTTGTAGTCCGGGCCCAGTCCTGGTTCAGACCTGGTTCAGACCTGGTTCAGACCTGGTTCAGACCTGGTTCAGACCTGTATAATGAGACTAGAGTCCCCTGTGGAAGCTAAAGTGGGGAGAGCCTACACTGCTGGAGCTCAGAGCTGCAGACTCGTATGAACTCGGCGTCATTCCCACAATGCCCTCTGCCTTTGGGGTCTCTCCGGGCAGGAAATCGTCCTCGTCTTCCTGGGATTCCTGTCAAACAAGAACAGCACGCTAAGTAGGAACCAGGGACGCTCCATAAACAACCTGGATTATTTTTAGTGTAGTGAACAGTATGTGTATCTGCAGTCAAGTGTGTGATACATCTATAAATACTGTAATTAAATCAACTACCACAAACTCCCTTTGATTTTTCATATTATACTCCAATGGAAACATGTTGTTGTTCAAATAGGGAACTGGTACATGGATTATACTAACTAATGTCCTCAGAAGGTGGAGCAGAGCATTTTGTGTGGGCTATGGACTTAAACATGAAGGCTTATTTCAAAACAACTGAACATTTTCAAAAGGTCCACATCAATTAGACAAAAAAAAATCTGACGAGATTCTGTAATGTAGGGAGCCGCATGATGATGTATGCGAAAAAAGATACTAAATCATGGCCTCAAATTATTAGTATTACTATTTTGTTCCCAAATAGTCCTGCTAATCAGCTCTACGGTTACTGCATGGATATATTTATAATCCACTAATGACACAGTGTAGATTTAGTCCCGGTTCAGTCCCGGTTCAGTCCCGGTCCAGTCCCGGTCCAGTCCCGGTCCAGTCCCGGTCCAGTCCCGGTATAGTCCCGGTATAGTCCCGGTATAGTCCCGGTATAGTCCCGGTATAGTCCCGGTATAGTCCCGGTATAGTCCCGGTATAGTCCCGGTATAGTCCGGTATAGTCCGGCGATCGGCTCTGTTGCTGCAGAGTGTATATATTTATAATCTGCTAATGACATGGGTAGGTTCAGCCCTGGGTTATTCCTGGTTTGGTTTCTTGTTCTGGTGTTTGTGGCCTTCTGCCCCGATGTGGCTCTAAACAAATGAGAATTCCACCCACACTCCGAATTTACGAACCTCAGCACGTTACAAGGCATCCAGCATCTCTACTGTGTGTGGTCGGCCAATGGGCTGAGCCCATAGTGAACAACTTAACTAAAACTTGGCTACGAGTTACATATTGTGCAAAAAAAATAGTAATTTGAGGCTATGATTTAGTACCTTTTTTCAAGTATGTCATCGGGCGGGCTCCCTCATTATGAGTAAGGGAGGTCGCACAGGAAAAGCTGTGCAACTTGACAGAAAAGAATAGGCTAAAAATCATTGTAATAAATAAAATAAATTGGCCAAAATGACTGATTCCTTTCAAAGGCATAACTAACATAGTGCAGATGTGGTGTGTACCTGGTGCTTGGCTGTGGGAGCGTGGAGCTCAGAGTCAGTTGGTTCCTCCCAGGCCTGGTACAGAGGCTGGATCACCTGCCCCGACCTGTACAGGCACACAGAGAGCACACAACAGTGAGCACACAGAGTGAGCACACAACAGTAAACACACAGAGAGCACACAGAGAGCACACAACAGTGAGCACACAGAGAGCACACAGAGAGCACACAGAGAGCACACAACAGTGAGCACACAGTGAGCACACAACAGTGAGCACACAACAGTGAGCACACAGAGAGCACACAACAGTAAACACAGTGAGCACACAACAGTGAGCACACAACAGTAAACACACAGAGAGCACACAACAGTAAACACAGTGAGCACACAACAGTAAACACAGTGAGCACACAACAGTAAACACACAGAGAGCACACAACAGTGAGAGCACACAACAGTAAACACACAGAGAGCACACAACAGTGAGCACACAGAGAGCACACAACAGTAAACACAGTGAGCACACAACAGTGAGCACACAGTGAGCAAACACACAAACACTATACACATCAGTTCTTCATCTACACAGAGACAGGGCTGCTGTCTAATGGTTTAATACAACACAGTGGGTTTTGTGAATGAATTTCCTTATAGTAATCAGTCTCCATGCTCACTCCTCGATCACTGACTCACTGACTACAGGCCTGTGGAGCTGACGTCTACACTCATCTCAGACATGACATCTCCACAGAAACAAGCAAGTACACAGCCCCAACCAGAAAGTTACATAGTGCACCTTTAAGGGTCTGTAGCATTCTGCATAAAATATCCAAATCAAATCACAATTGCAATTTGAGTGTGTGCAATTATCAAACAGCAAAGACAGCAGTTATTTAGGCAATAGAATATCCACTGTAAACAATAAAATATTAGTGATTAAAAATAAAATCATTCAGAAGTTCATATTGTGTGTTTGCTCAAATGTGAATGCTCCTGGACACGTCTGACATTAACCTTCTCAACACAGAATCCTACTTTTTATACATCAACTACAAATCTAAATCAAAAAACTGTGCAGCCCTAGTCTGTGGCGGTGGGATGAGTGTCCCCAAGGCCTGGGTGGGGGTCTGCACAGACCTCTTGAGCAAGTAGGGGTCAAAGGGGAAGAAGCAGTCCAGAGGGTTGGTGTTGGCGGTGACCCGGTCTCCTCCGGTGGAGCTGCGTACCACAGGCAGCATGTGTCTGTTGTTCCTCTCGATGACAGTGTAGCAGAACACCACCTGGTATCTCCTGGACACACAGAGGCCACATTCTTTTAGAAACCTCAGCACAGGTTCACATGTTTACAACCTAGAGTCCTGTATGTGTGGAAGAAAGACATTTATCAGGTTTTAAAAATGATGAAAATAGTAACTGCCAAGGTCACTTTTCTGGTACAGGATATGTCACACTGGTCTCTATGGCTCTTAAAGGCCCAGAACAGGACCCTCCTACTACTCATGTGTATTAGACGGAGTTCCATGTGAGGTTTTCACCCTGGGGCCACCAAATTCTGTCAACAGGCCTGATCAGCGATGGGTATTATTGTAGTTATTGTAATTAAAACAGACAGAACCTACTCCTACTCCTACTCCTACTACTATCATTACCACTACTACTACTACTACTACTACCACCACTACTACCACCACTACTACCACCACTACTACCACCACTACTACCACCACTACTACCACTACCACTACTACTACGACTAAATCATCTCTGAAAGAGCAGTGCAAGAAACACATATCTTAAAATCATTTCACGTACATAACAAAGCGTTTGTCACTTTTCGACTTAACTCACACTGGGAAAAGGAACCACAACTTACTATTGCACTGTACATATTACTCAAGTAGCAGTACTTCAGTAGATGAAAGTTTGTGAGTACCTAATGATGGAGGCATACATGTGTGACTGTGGTAAAAGTATTTGAGTAGAGCCTAAAAGTACTTGAGTAGATGGATATGTGTGCGTACCTCATGATGGCGGCGAACATGTGTGTGACCATGGGCAGACACACTTTGAGAGGGTTGAGCTGACACATGACCATGCGCTCCAGGTTCAGGCTCTGCAGGTACTCCAGACCTACACCACAGCAAGAACACACTTAGAGCTGCATGATATGAACACAACGTTTACATTATATATTATATTGGAACACAAATACAAACTGTACAGCTGGATAATTAATCACATTTTAATTAAGATTCAGTCATTTCTAATGGTCACTGATAAATTAAAAAGATTAAAAATTACAAAGGTGCAGTTCCAAATTTCCCCATCTTAAAAATGTCAAAAACAGAACTAGAACAGAACTTGAGTAAAATGTGTCTTGCCTCAGTAAAGGTATATTATCTGGTAATCAGGAAGTGTGTGTTAGCATGCTAGATGTTGTTAGCATTACCCGTGATGGCAAAACTCTTGCCTGACAAATCCAGAATGATATTCGTGTTATAGAGAGTGATACGAGTCTGGTCGCTCGGGTTTCCCCCATCAACCCAAAAAAACATGCTCCAGGTCTCCATGAACAGTTGATAGTCAAGGTCAGTTAAATACAATCAATTCAGTCATTGTGTGTCCTTAGGCAAGACACTTCACCCACATTGCCTAGTATGAAAGTGGTGTGTGTGTGAGTAATGGTGGTGGTCGGAGGGACCGATGGCGCTAAGTGGCATGGCAGCCGCGCTTCTGTCAGTGTGCCCCAGGGCAGCTTTGGCTACAATAGTAGCTTACCATCAACAGGGTATAGAGTGAATGAATAATGCTGAATAATGCTCTGTAAAGCGTCTTTGGGGACAGAAAATGTCTGTGAAAAGCGCTATATAAATAAAGACTTACTTTGTCCCCACTCCCTCCATTGCATCTCGAGCCAGAGCCAGAAACAAACATGAATGTCCAATCAGATTTATTTATTTCGGAGACTCGTTTGAAATGAAGGAGCTCATTGGTCACTCATCATTATGAACTAAATGGCATTTCTCATAAATTATACAGAAATCCACCACAGTTTTTCTGTCCCCTGTGATATTTTTTCCCTTACATTTTACCTCATGACCAGCCGTATTTGTATCTCAGGGAGATTCACCAGTATGAAAAATTAACAAATGTGTATTCTGGACCCTTGGCAAGCAAAACTCCACTGTGGTTTCTGAAAGTTGTGAAAAGTGCTTATAAACTCATCATGATGAATCATTAGGATGCTCAGAATGCATAAGGTAATTTAGGAATAACTTTGGACCACTGCAAACTCTTTAAAATGAACTAGTTCTGTTTTGTAATTAAAGGCGCTCTACCTGATTTTTACCAATAAACTGCACAGCCTAAATACAGTCTGATATAAGGTGTAAGATGTGTAAGGTGTGAGCGTGTAGTGTCAGACCTCTCTTCATGTTGCCCTCCAGCATGGCTCTGTGTCTGAACACCAGAGTGTAGAAGACAGCTTGGCAGGCGCTGTAGAAGGGCCCGTGCAGGTTCAGGTCACAGTACTGTTTGTCCACACAGTCCTGAGAGTCTAGGTACGAGTGGATCCAGGACACCAGTAGGTCCAGACACGCCCGCACCGTCCTGAACACAGCACAGTGCTCAGTACGAGGAATACCAACTGTTTTACAAAACTGCTGAAGTCCTATATTAACAAAAACAGTCTTGTGAGCTTTAAGCCATGTTCTAATACTGTTACTTCATCAAAAACAGACCTGGAGTTGTGTTTTGTTTCATTCACACATGTTTGAGTAACTCTTTATCTGTCTACATCTATCATCTGTTCCACCTTGTGATGTCATGTACTGGTACGTAACAAGTTAACAGCTTTTAACTTTTGTTCAGTAAAGACAGGTAATTCCAGGGCTGAAACCATCCAAATGATTCTAGTGAAAGTTTAAAAGACAACAGAGCACTTCCTGTATTACCACATGACATCACAAGGTGGAAGAGAGCGTGTTCCATTTGAGAGAAGACTTAAATATGCAGGAATTGCATGTTAAAACATGTGTATGAAACAAAACACAACTCCAGTATTAATCCAAAAATGTTAATTTTGTCTTCTTATGTACGGTAAACTTCTTGGGTTCTTTTTAAAAACAATATAGCAGACCAGACAACACTGTATTGTCTTTAAAAAGAACCCAAGAAGTTTGACAACTCCAGGCATGTTTGTGATGAGAAAACTACATTATAACATGATAGAAAGCTCCAAAACTTCAATTTTACACACCCCCTCTTTAAAATATGGTTATAACTAGGGATGGGCATGCGATGAAATTTTCTTAATCGATCGTCGGAAGAATTAACGATCGATTATTGATTAATCATTAACGTTTTTATATTAAAATGATCATCATTATTATTACTATCTGCACTACTAATCAGCATAAATAAATTAAACTTTACGACATATAAACCGCAACGACTCTAGAGCCACATCAGCCCGTTTGACATTATAACGTGTTTAATTCATTTTTGTGCAACTCTCACAAAAACAAAACTTAAAACCGCATCGCTAATTTGCATAAACTCAGCGAAGATAAAAACTACAGCTCTTGTGTTGCTGATGTGGTCAGTTTCTGTCTGATTAAAAGACATGATTCAGTGGAATACAGGTTAGTGTGACCAGATTTGCATTTGTCAAAACCAGGACACCGTACGGGGGGAGGGAGGTGGGGACTCGTCATTGACATTGAGCGACTCTCACCTGGTATAACTTTTTCTCACTGGACACTGAAACATATGTGCTGCTTTATACACTGTGCACAAGGACTCACACTTGTCCCGAACGCAACAGAAAGCGTGGAATTTCTTGTACAAATCATCTTTAAATACACATTTGTGCTTCGGTACGCTGCAGGCTGACCTACTGTTTGTGTCTCGCTCCTTCTGAGTGCAGAGCTACATGTACGGATCCCTGTTTGGTCACACTACGCACAGCAACCTACATTCGGTTTGTCGATTAAAATTAACGTAATCGATGAAAGTCTTAATGATCAATTATCGATTAATCGATTAATCATGCCCATCCCTAGTTATAACAGTTATGGAATTACCTTAACATTGTCAAACTAGGGACAACTAGGCAATAGTTTCATTAAAAAAACTGAAATATACTGTAATAACTAAGTTTTAGTAAAACGAGTAGTCAAAGCTGTCATGCAATTTGAATGAATTCAACAAATATATCTTTAAAAAGTCATTTTGTGTTCTACAAGGAAAGAGGATATCGTGTAAGGCTTAAGAAGATTCCAACAGTGTACAGTGTGTTTTATTGACCACAGGAGCAGCGAAAAAAAACAAAAAAAAACCCCCAAAACAAAACACTGTAGTGTGGAGTTTACCGCCACACTACAGACTATACACAGAGGAGCTGTGAGGAGAAGCTATCCTCCTCCTCGTACCTCGGGGGGTTGCACTTACGCAATGGGGATGAACTTGGCACGGGCGAGGAAGCTGCCCATGTACCCGAGCACGGCCTGCCGGAGCACTGCAGCCAGGGAAGGGTTCTGCACCAGCTTCCAGAGGTGCTCCAGGAAGGCCTCTGACAGAGCCTACAACACACACACACACAAGCACGCACGCACACACACGTGAGTCATTACTGTCTCTGTGCACACACGTTCTCCAGTGGGGTTCTTACAGAAGATGACTTTGGATTAAAAGGTCCAATAACTTTAAACCATGTTATAATGTTGATACCTCATGAAAAACAAGTCTGCTGTTGTGTTTTGTTTCATTCACAAATGTTTGAGTAATCTTCTTCATCTGTCTACATCTCCAAAGTTCAAAATGCTCTGTTCCATCTTGTGATATAATGAAGCTGTAGTTTTCAAGTTAACATCTCTTTTTACCTTTTGTATAGTAGCGAAGGGCATTTCTAGAGCTGAAATTACAGGTCTAATAATTATAATTATAATTATTGTTTTCTGTTAGAGAGAAGAACTCAGCCTAAATGTGCATGTTTTCTGTGTTAAACATGGGTGAAAGAAACAAAACACAACTCCGGGTCTGTTTGTGATGAGGAAACAAAATTATAACATAAATCAAAAAAATTGTGTAATGTGGGAAAGTTAACTTTTGTTAAGTTGGCAAGATTAAATGTTCTTTTGTTGTTCATTCAAGCTTGTTTCACTTAAACTCCCATCCATAACTATAGTGATCTATGTTAGTGCAGTCTGACAGTGTGTCAGTGTGAGCTTTGGCCTGTGCACATTTTTACTGCAGATCGACTGACGTCGATTGCTTTGGAATCCAGCGCAACTGCGTATTTACTACTGCCTATTGCCATACCCACAAATTTTTAAAAGAGTTGTGAATTCACATGTTGTGCAGTTACCTCTTTGCATTAAAGTGGTAAAATACAGCTTTGTGTGCAGCAGGTTGCACAACACTAAATACCTGCCTCTGCTGGAGATTTAAGGCCTATAGCCGACAGGCCAGAAAAGAAATGATAACAAATATCATCCTGATATATTGAGGATTGTTTAGAATCCAGAGCAACCAGCAGCAGCTATTTTTGTATATAAAGGGTCGAGTTTGAATATTTTACCCAATTTAAATTCTGTGATTTCATTCTGTAATTTAAATTAACTACAAACTCACCCCTAGCCCATTTTGGCCTCAATATATCATAGGTCTGTCTCTACATTTAATAAACAAGACATCGCTGGATTTTTTATACAGAGGGAAATCAGTGTGGTCCCTACTCCCTCTGCCACGCCTTGAGCCACACTCACACAGCGCTGTCCAATCACTCACGTGTTAGAGCTGTAGAGTTTTGGACCAGTGTGTACTCTGGACCCCAGGCAAGCACATGACATCACGATTTCTATTACTAAGCCATTTTAGATTAATCTTGCAGTTTATACTGAAAAAAATCCTGACCAGTCTGAGGCTGCAGGGGTAGAACAGAGCATACTGGACGTGAGAGCGGGAGTGGGAGCAGACATGTGCGTGTGCATGTGTGCATATGTGCATGTGTGTGTGCATGTGTGCATGTTTAATACTGACCAGCCTGAAGCTGCAGAGGTAGAAGAGGGCGAACTGGACGTGGGAGCAGGCGTGCGTGGGCAGGATGATCTTATCGAACACGGCCAGCAGGTCTCTGTACAGGGCCTTGGTCTGGTCCAGATGCAGAGTGCCTGGACACACACACAGACACACACACACAGACACAGACACACACACAGACACACAGACACACACACACACACACAGACACACAGACACACACAGACACACACAGACACAGACAGACACACACAGACACACACAGACACACACAGACACACACAGACACAGACAGACACACACAGACACACACAGACACACAGGGCATGGACATAAGCATCACACAAGAGTCAGACAATGCATGTAGGGAGTATTACAACAGTAATAGAGCCTTAATAGTCGGCTTCAGCCTGGACAGCACTTAACCCACTGCATTCTTCCTGAAGAATTTGTTGATGTCATAATTTCAAACTGAGAACAGGGAATACTGAGTCTAGCTCAAGATTGTGATGTCACACCTCAAAGAGTTTTCAGTTATCCTATTGTTAAACAAATGTAAATGTTCAGGTCTTGTACTCAATGTTTGGTTCATGTATTTATTTATTTGTAAATGTGTCTTGCCCCAGTACAGATGTATTGTATAAGAAGCTCTTGAGGTCAACATAAGTTCTCTGTGTAGTGTGTGCATCTCATTATAAATAGAATATTGGGTAATAATCAGGACGTGCACTGTTAGCATGTTAGTTGTTAGCATTGCTGTGATGGCAAAACTCTACAATGGCCTTTGAAAGTTGAGAAAGGCTCTTATAAACTCATCACAGTGAATAATTAGGATGCTCAGTAGGCAAAAGGTAAGTGAGGAAGAACTTTGGACCACTGCAAACTGTTTAAAATGAACTGGTTCTGTTTTTCTTACGTTTTTAAGACAGGAAAAATCATATCAATGATATTAAGATGCTAAATCAGAGCTGGGCATTGTACAGCTCTGGGGCCTACATACTCTGACCGGCCTGATTAAGATCATTTAGAATTACAAAATAAATACATTTTTATCATTTCACCTCATACATGGAACTAAGGCTGCATTGCTTTTATTTATTTTTTATTTTTATTTTTTAAATAAAATGAAGGCACCTCACATTTTCATTTCTTTGTCATAACAAAACAAAACATCAAAACATCCATCCATCCATTTTCTTCCGCTTATCTGGGGTTGGGTTACAGGGGCAACAGTCTAAGCAGGAACTCCCAGACTTCCTTCACCCCGGACAATTCCTCCAGCTCCTCTGGGGGACCCCAACGGTGTTCCCAGGCCAGCCGAGAGACATAGTCCCTCCAGCATGTCTTCCCCGGGGCCTCCTCCCAGTGGGACATGCTCGGAACATCTCCCGAGGGAGGCGCCCAGGAGGCATCCGGAACAGATGCCAGAGCCACCTCGACTGGCTCCTCTCGACGTGGAGGAGCAGCGGCTCTACTCCCCTGTGACTGAGCTTCTCATCCTATCTCTAAGGGAGCGCCCAGCCACCCTGCGGAGTCCTTTTGGTCATTACCTAGAGCTCATGACCATAGGTGAGGGGAAGAATGGAGATTAACGGTAAATCGAGAGTTTTGCCTTTCGACTCAGCTCCCTCTTTACTACAACGGTCCGATACAGCGACCACATCACTGAAGACGCTGCACCGATCCGCTTGTCAATCTCACTCTCCATCCTCCCCTCACTCGTGAACAAGACCCTGAGATACCTGAACTCTTCCACTTGAGGCAGGAACTCTCCACCCACCTGGAGAGGGCAAGCCACCTTTTTCTGGTCGAAAACATGGCTTCATGATTTGGAGAAGCTCATCCCAGCCGCTTCACACTCGGGTGCACACCACCCCAGAGTGCGCCTAGAAATTCTGTCCATAAATACAATGAACAGAACCGGTGACAGAGGAGGCCCTGGGGAGTAAAAACATGCACCGGGAACAGGTCTGACTTACTGCCGGCAATGAACACAGCTCCTGCTCCGGTCGTACAGGGACCAGACAGCCCTTAGCAAAGGGCCCCGAACCCCATACTCCCAGAGCACAACCCACAGGACACCACGACATTCAACACGGTCGAATGCCTTCTCCAGATCCACAAAGCACATGTGGACTGGTTGGGCAAACTCCCATGAACCCTGGAGCACCCGATGGAGAGTGTAGAGCTGGTCCAGTGTTCCACAGACAGGAAGAAAACTACACTGCTCCTCCTGGATCCGAGGTTCGACTATTGGCTGGATTCTCCAGTACCCTGGCATAGGTCGCTTGGTCCTGCCAGGTCTTCACCTGTCCAAGATACATAGCCGGAGGTCAGATGACACAACAACAAAGTCGATCATCATCCTTCGGCCTAGGGTGTCCTGGTGCCACGTGCAGTGATGGACACCCTTGTGCTCGAACATGGTGTTCATTATGGACAAACTGTGACTAGCAAAGAAGTCCAATAAAAGAACACTGCTCGGGTTCAGATCAGGGAGGCCGTTCCTCCCAATCACCCCTCTCCAGGTGTCATTGCCCATGAATGAGCTAAAGTCCCTCAGCAGAACAATAGAGTTCCCGGTCGGTGCACTGTCCAGTACCCCTCCCTGGGACTCCAAGAAAGGCCAGGTACTCCACACTGCTCCAACTCCAACACACGGCAGCTGAGCCGTGGGGTAATGAGCAGGCCCACAACAGCCCGCCGCCACTCCCCGTGGGCAACGCCAAAGAAACAGAGTCCAGCCCTTGTCTAGGAGTTCGGTTCCAGAGCCAAAGATATGTGTGGAGGTGAGGCCGACTATATCTTGTCGGTAATGCTCAACCTCTTGCACAAGCACAGGCTCCTTCCCCCCCAGCGAGGCGACATTCCATGTCCCCAGAACCTGCCGTCGACTGCCGTGCAGACCTCCATGCACCGGTCCCTTAATGATCCTCCCGCAGGTGGTATGTCCACGGGAGGACAGCCCCATGTCGCTCCATCGGGCTGAGCCCAACCAGTCCCTGTGGGGGAAGACCCGGGAACCAGGTGCTCGAGGTTGAGCACCCACCCCAAGCCCGGCTCCAGGGTGGGGTCCCGGTACCTCCAATCCGCGTGACATTACTGAACTCTGTATGTTGTTCATCATAGGGGCTTCTGAACCGCTCTTAGTCTGACCCATCTCCCAGGATCTGTTTGTCTTGGGTGACCCTACCAGGGGCATGAAGCCCCCAACAACACAGCTCCTGGGATCATTTGGGCACTCAAACCCCTCCACCAGGATAAGGTGGCGATTCAAGGAGGGGCTTGTCAAAACAATGCTATTTAATGCTGTTTATAAAGAATCACCATTAATATTATGCAGAATTGAGTTAAGCATTTTGGACCAGCTCTCCACAAGATTTTCTGTTTCTCATGGGGCCCCATGGATATAAATAATTGCCCACCCCATGTTAAATACTAAACTTAGCTTTTAAAAGTATTCTCATTCAATAGACTCATCTATGTTTTTACCAGTAGTGACCTAGAAGTGTATCAGCGTATTCCATACTTGGTTTGTTTACTTTTTGTCATATTCATCTTATCGTCCCCACAGACCCAGTTCTACTGTACCATTGACGTGGCAGATGTCTTTGATATAAGCCAGGAGCACAGCCATGAGAGTGTCCAGTCGCTCTGCCACCGGGTGGGCATTGAGCGAGGAAGTGGGGGGTTGTGCATGGAGCTCCTCGTCCTGTAATACAACACAAGAGCTCACAACTACACACACAATAACTTTCTCAAATACACAGGAGAGAACATGACCACAAACACTTGTACAGTATAAGGGGTTAAATATTTCAATGTGTCTCCCAGGTGTACCAAGGTAAAAATACAATACTGTTATTTAGAAAGAAAAATGTGAGTTTTCCTACAGCTAACACAAAGAGGTCAAAGACCTCCAACAGGGTGGATTCTAGTGACCTTTAACCTATGTGTTAATGTATGCCATAATGTTGTTCTCTCCTCAAAAACATGCCTGGAGTTGCATTTTATTTCATTCACACATGTTTAATTCAGAAGAGATGGGCAATTCCAGGTCTGAAATCACCCAAATGATTCTAGTGAAGGTGTATGGAGTTTAAAAACACAGTAGAACACTTCCTGAATGACCATGACATCACAAGGTGGAACAGCATGTTTTCAGTTTGAGAGAACAGCAGTTCTCCTGCAGCTCTCTGCACTCACTGCACATGTGCAGAATGCCCCATGTGTTTTCAGATGTGGTGTTGTGTGTTGTCTCATAGAAAATAATGGAGGTGGCAATTTTGCTGTGTGTCAAAATGTCCTGGTGTGGGTTGGCCTACAGTATACAGGGTTTGTGTGTTAAACATGTGTGAATGAAACAAACCACCAGGTCTGTTTTTGATGTGGAAACCACATTAGAACAGAGATCAGAAAATAGTGTAATAAGGGAATTTTAACTAAAGTTCAAAGGATTGACACAGACTTAAAGTGTGGAAAGATGCATCATAACAGTGAAATGTGGTGGTGAAATAGTCTACATTCTAAAGCTGATGCCTGGAGAGCACCACACACACACACACACACACACACACACGCGCGCGCACACACGCGCACACACACGCGCGCACACACGCGCACACACGCGCACACACACGCGCACACACGCGCACACACACTGCCGGCACGCATAATGTCATTTACCATGTTAAAGAGCGCCTCATCTGGCTGCTGGTGCACAGCGAGCTCCTCGGCCTCCTCGATGTCAGATCTGGAGGCGCTGACCTGAGAGGAGACACAAGTCAGACCTGTCCCACTGCAGCACACACACTGGATAGACTAGGGGTATCTAGGGCAATAATAAATCGATCCAATAAGCACTGATACCAGATAAATGATATACTGTAGTGATCCAATAATGAAAGGCTTAACTCTTTGTAGATGCAGGAAAAACACTGCTTTGTGGACAGAGCAGAGATCTGGATAGAGACTTGTAAACCAAACGAAATCAAACTTTGTGTTGTTTAAAATGAAAACAAAAAGTAGAAGAAATATCGGCCTAATATCAGTCATCAGTATCTGGATCATCCCTAGTACAAACTGTACACACAGATACTTACGTCCAGCTGGAGCATCTTGTCTATGATGATCTCCAGGATGTCTCTGCGCACAGAGGGAAGGTACACGCTCACACGCAGCAGGTTGTGGACGTAGCACTCCTGTGGGACAAATGTACAGTCAGGAGAGAGAGGCCACCAGGGAGGATGGTTGTTTGTAGCAGGGTTGTCAAAAGTATCGAAAATCTAAAACTAATCCACCCTAAAACTAGTATTGAAAATAGATACTCATTTGAGAAAGACACAAAACAAGCTATATTCACAGGACACATGGGAATAGAAAAGAAAATACTATCAATTAATGTTGAAAATTACATTCTACTGTCTAAAGACTATCTATCATGGTGGTATCAGAATCAGTATGGAGTATCAAGTGTATTCCTTAGTATCAAAATAGTTTGAGCATCGTGACAACACTGTGAGGGAGTGTGCTGCTCTCATGTGTCACTGGGATACAACAGGGACAGACTAATCAAACTATTATTATTATTATTATTATTATTTTTAAACAAATAAAGGTTAAAATATTGTCTGTGACTGGTGACTGAGGGCTTTCAGACGTAGAATTTCAAAGGCACTGTACCTGATTTATAAGAAATTGAAAAACTAGTTTACCTTGTCAACAAATTGCAGTGGTCCAAAGTTCTTCCTCACTCACCTTATGCATTCAGAGCATCCTAATTATTCACTGCAATGAGTTTTTAAGCGCTTTTCACAACTTTCAGAGGCCAAAGCCGAGTTTTGGCGTCATAAAAAAGCTAACAACTAGCATGCTAACCAGTCACCTTGTGATTCTGACAATAAAATGCTCTATAATTCTATAATTAAATGCTGACAGTACACAGTAGACTTGTTTGAATCTCAAGAGCAGCTTATATAATATAACTGTACTGAGGCAAGACACATTTTCATCAAAGACATAGGTTAGAAATGAGAAATAGGTTACTCTTGTTTGATTTTAAATAATGTTACTTCCTCTTTATGTATTTTAGAGTCTACAAGTTGTAATTATTCTAATAGTTGATGAGTTGACTCATCATGATTATTCCAATTAAATGTTGCAGCCCTAGTAACTACTCACTAGACACAATCTGTACACATTTTTAACAAAATGGACAAAGATAAAAAATGTTGAGTATTGATATTTTGCAGTGATATGGCAGAATGTTCAGCCAGCGGTTCAGCCTTAGTGACTCAATGCACATATTAGCAAACATTGCCAAAAATGTTTAAAAATCCAATCTGAAAACTCAACAGTCAGTTTTTTATGGTCAGATTGTGTTAAAACAAAACTCAGATTATTTGAGTGACAGAGCTTCAGACAGAACAGTGCTTCTGTTAGCATCAGACTCCCAGTGAATATTGATGACATCAGCTGCAAAGTGTCAATACCAGAAAATCCTAACTATTCTGTGGTTTTGATGCAACAAAATCACAAGAAGTGAGTGAGTTTAGAGTGAAAAGTAATATCTGTGAATAAAAAGCCTGACCAGAGTCCTTGGGGACTTCTGGATGAAGGGGAACTTCTCCTGGAGGATGGGGGTGAGGAAGCGGCCGGTCCTGGGGAGACACACACAGGTTAAAGTGGCCCCTGGACTCAGAGGTTATTACAGGTGATGCATGTGTAGAGCAGGACTTACGATGGCACGTATTTGGAGATAAGCTGCAGTGCGTGGTGACATTGCTCAAAGTTCCTGGGCAGGTCTGAAAAGTATACAGAAGTATAACCAATTGTACACTGACCAGTAACACTTACTGCATGGAGCAGGAGAGGGTGCTCTTGTGTGTGGAACAGTGTGTGCGCTTAGTGCACTTAAATGTGCATGTGTAACGGTGATTACATGGTATTTGACTCCACCTGTCATTACTTTTATTGGACTAATGCATTTTGGTTGAGGTGGGTCACTGATTTTAGCTCTGTCAGTAAAAAATCATGTAATTCTGTTTAATTATCCATTACATGATCACAGCCTAATTGAACATTTTATTCATGTAATTCAAAACATTTATGAGTTAATATTTTGTACAACGTTTGAGTTATTACAGTAATGGACTTTAGCACATGTCGTGACAGGAGATAACTTTAAGATGCTAATGTGACTTGCTCTCCTTGTGGAGCTGCTCGCCGTGTTGAGCCGAGGTTTCCTGACCAGATTAAAACTACAAAAGATGGCACCGTGTCCTGGCTATTTGTTCACAACACAATGCAGATAAACTATACAATGAACAAAAGATGAACACAGACGGGTTATTACTACTGGGCTTTTGCACGACTAAGTTCAGAGCAGTTACATATGCATGTGTTTCTTACTTTCATCTTCATCGTCTGAGTCAGAGAAGTCCACTCCTCCTTCACTCACGGTCACTCGCTCTGGACACACACAAGTAAAAAGTCAGCATGGACTGATGGGCTTAAGGTTCTTTATTTTTTCTCCACTTCATATCAAAGTGCTCTTTGTTGTAATAGAGACTACCATGACTCCTCTTACTATGTGGTTCCTAGGAGGAGGATTATGGAGAACTTTACGCAATCCTGTTTGGCTGCACCTTTACACAGACGTGCTTCACACTGACTATTCACTATGCGACATTTAGGAAACACTCTTTTTCTAGGACTGACAAAGAGCAGAATGCTGGTGGAATTTGATTCATGTTATCAGTTTGGCTTCGTGTTGACACAGCAGACTTACCAATTGTAAGAACAGCTTCAATGACTGCTTCTCTGCAGAGCCAAATGCGCTAGCTTGTTTACATATGTTAAGTACTGTGTGCTTCGAGGCTTTTAATCTTTTTACAGGCCTCAAACATGAATAATCTGGTGTAAAAACACTGCATTTAGAACCAGTGAGATAAAACATCAGATAATGCCTTTGTCACTGTGTCCTGAAACTGTGGAGGACTTATACATTATTTTACAATATTATAACAAATTCATAATTATAACATATTCATAATTAGTTTACATCTGCTAATAATTTTATTCAACTGGGGCTGATTTCACCATGGAATACATAACTGTTTATAAAGGCAAACCGTAAATTATGTAAATAAAATAATTTAAAATGAGAAGATCAATATCAGATCAGGACCCAAAAAACTGGATCAGGACATCACTGTTATGCTGCAGTTTAATTTCAGCCAGGTATACCCGGACGGGTATCGGTTAATATCAGGTATCAGCAGATTCTTAATGCTCCATTATGAGTATCGCTACTGAAAAAGCTGGGTCGGTGCATCCGTAGTTGTCACAATATGGACAGTGCACTATATTAAAAATCTACTACTAGAAATAGCATGAAAATATGGAAATAAATTTGATGAAGCATCGATATTCAAACTTTTTTAGATGTAGTCTCACCCCATGTTAAAGTAAAAAAAAAGGGGGAAAAAAGCAAAAACTATATTGATAATAGCTTTATACAATTCCAAATAAGTCAATGCATCTCATGTACATCTAATTTAATACTTGTGGTATCTAAATGGGTATTCAGTATCAAATGTTTTCCTCAGAGTTTGACATTATAATATTGTGACAACACCAAGTCCTACCCAAACATATCCCACATATGACAAAAAATAACCACATTGACATTTTTAGCCCTTACAAGAAAAACAACTCACTCGGGATGAAGTGGGTCACAACCATGCGGAGGCAGGGGCACAGGTACACAGTCTGTGCGGAGACCAGGTTACTGAGGAAGGCCAGGTACCCCTCCACTACAGCCTGACTGCGCCCCACCCACGGAAGGCGCTGCAGAGGGGAACACACAAGCAGGGTGAGGAGAAAGTGAAGCCAAAGTGGACAGTACATTTGAGAGCATGTGTGTGTGTGGCATTCTCACCAGCACGGTGTGAATGAGCTGCTCATGCTCTTTACTGAGCAGAGTCACACAGTTCCTGAACTCCTGCAGCCAGTTTACAATCTGAGAGTCCTGTCCGAGCAGAGATTGCCAGGTTATCCAATGGTTCAGACCAATGACAGTGTAGCATTAGTGGGTAGCAAGTGCACAAACATTCCAAAACATACATGGCTTTATTTTAGTGAAAAATGTGCAGAAGGTAAAGCGCTTTGTCCATTTGTGGACCTTTTCATGATCGATTTCAGGAAGCGCCATCCAAAATTGATAACGTGTAGAACTTCACAAATCAATCTAGTGTGAGACTGGTTAGGTGTCATAAACAACAGATTTTGTATTTTGATTTTAGCACAGCTCATTCAATGACCATGTAAGAACAGTCTCTGTGATTGTAGAAATGTGCCATTTCAAATTCTAAGTCTAGATTTGTGATATACGGTGCAGGTCTTCTGTAGATTTCTCATAGCAGTGTGGTGTACCTTGATCTCAGGATCTGTCAGCTGCTGTTGAAGCAGCACATAGTCGCTCAGGTCCCCCTAACACACACACACACACATATACATTATTACATGGAAAATTACCTCAGTGATGCAGATGTTTAGTAACACATTTATAAGAGTACATGTAAATGTGAATAATACAGCATCATAGCATGTAAATATAAATGGACATAGCTAACACACTAGCCACCGCATTCCAAATAGGAAGTGAGCGTGTGAGCACTGCTGGCTCCTTCTGACCTCGTCTTCCATTGACTTACATTGGAATATTATGGCCCTTCTCTCTGTAACTGCTGCTGTGAGCCTCGCCATTTTGGTCTTAAAATGTTCATATTAACCCACCCTACATGATCGTGAGGTTTTGATTTCGTGATTGTGTCCATTTAAAAAAATCTATATCCTATAATCCTATTCCTAATATGGACCTGGCTCCACATTTGCTTCTGTAACTGCTTCATTTGAGTGGAGCTGAACGCTATGGGTGACGTCACATTCACTTAGTCCTCTTCTTTATACAGTCTATGTAAAGTATAATATCATGGTTCCACTAAATACTGTAGCGACAGTTGCCCTGGGGCAGACTGACAGAGGCAGGCTGTCAGTCTGCACTATCGGCCCCTCCAACCTGCACCAACATTTAAAGCGCAAAATGTTCTATTTCAGCTTGTTGTCATGAAGCGGGAATTATCAAGTTAACAAACATCTTTCACCTTTTATTCTGTAGAGTTTGGCATTTCCAGGTCTGGAATGATCTGAATGATTCTAGTGAAAGAGTATGGAGTTTAAAAACACAGTGGATATTACCACATGACATCACAAGGTGGATTAGACTGTTTTCAGTTTGAGAGAAGAACTCAGCCTAAATATGCAGGTGTGTCTTTGTGACGTGGAAACACCATTATAACGAACAGATTACAAAACAGTGTAACATGGACCCTTTAATGCCATACTGTGGAATATTACTACATGACAGACATGCCCCAACATGTCTCCAGTCCAGAGTGTGACGCCGTCTATCTATATTACAGGGCTTATACGTGTGCAGTAAACTGACACAGACCCATGTCCACTCACCTTCTTGTATTTGGCCAAGTGTGTCCGCCACTGTCCCCCCAAACCTGACTGTCTTCACAAGAGAAGTGGTCAAGAAGTCCCGATCGTCCAGCTCCATCATGTCCAACAACACTCTCTGCTAACGCTAAAGCTAAGGCGACGGCTCAGACAACAGCAACGGTCCTACAGCGAGGACCCGAGAGGACGACGGTCCTCAGCCTGAACAGAGACAGTCTAGCCCGGTTAGACTCAAAGAAGAACCGTGGATCAGGAGCAGCAAACACATGTGAGCGACACCGGAAGAGACAAGTGTTTACGGAAGTGACGCGAGTGTTACGGAGAAATGCCTCCGGTGGTTGAGAATTCTCCCGCAAGACAATATTTATATTTTCATCTTATTTATTCTTTTTAATGACATAGTAAATAAATTAACAGACAAAAAAATAAAAGCCATATCAAAACAATATCCAAAGACACATTGCAACTTAGTGTAATAAATAAACCATGACAAAAATAATGGAGCAAATCCTGTAGATATTATGCATACTGTAAAATAGAAAACTTAAATACATCACTGAAAACGTTTGGAAGATATGATAGCTTTTTTTGTGGTCTATTTTGTTAAATATATTTAATATGTGTGTCTTAATAGCCATTATATGGGATTATCACATTTCCGGGTTTTGTTGGGCGGGGTTTATCAATGTTGTGCACTTCCACTTCCGGCAACAACAACAATGGCTCAAACCACGGCTCGATGTCACTGCTCTGTTCCTCTCTGTTTTTCAAATAAACAACGACAGCCATATTTAAGCTTTCACGGATTCCCCACTGAACCGTGTATTAGAAAGAGGTGGGTTACAGCGATTCGCAGAGATGAAGGGCCAAGCTTTAAAATTAAGCAAGGCAGTACGTTTGTTTGTAGCCGACATTTCAACGAGTCCGATTACGTTAGCAGTAGTTGTAGCGGGCTAGCGTTAGGTCGACTGAAGCGTCTGAAGATCGGGTCTGTGCCCTCCCGTTTTCAGTGGAACAACTGGGGACTGAAAAGAAGAGAGTCCGTTTATAAAAAAGCGTCAGCTCGTGTAGGCCTTGACGTTAGTTCAGACCTTCCTCTGGAGCAGCCCCTGCTGGGGGACGCCACGGAGCAGATGGCGGTGGTTATGACAGAACATGATTATGGAACTACACCTAAACCAGGTATGTCAGTGGTTTCAAATGATGACCTACCAGTACCCCACACACTAAATGTTTAGTCTTATTGATATCCCAGCCTTTTTACAAATACCACAATGTGAAAAGCTCCAACACAAGTACAAACAGTGTTGGGGAGTAACAGATTACATGTACCGGTGTTATGTAATCAGAATACAAATTATGAGTAACTGTATTCAGTTACACTTACTGTTTGAATGAGTGGTAATTAGATTACAGTTACTTGGTTGACATAAATGGATTACACAGTGGTATTTTCCTGTTTTCACATTTTGGGCTATTCCCTTTTTTTTTTTTCCAGTAATTCCACTCATTGCCGGACACTAAATCAGGTCTAAAACCAGGTCTAAAACCAGGTCTAAAACCAGGTCTAAACCAGGTCTAAACCAGTTCTAAAACCAGGCCTAAACCAGACCTAAACCAGGACTAAAACCAGGACTAAAACCAGGTCTAAACCAGGTCTAAACCAGGACTAAACCAGGACTAAAACCAGGACTAAAACCAGGTCTAAACCAGGTCTAAACCAGGTCTAAACCAGGACTAAACCAGGACTAAAACCAGGTCTAAAACCAGGTCTAAACCAGGTCTAAACCAGGACTAAAACCAGGACTAAAACCAGGTCTAAAACCAGGTCTAAACCAGGTCTAAAACAGGATTTAACAGGACTAAATCATGCTGTGTGGACCATGTCTCATCCTCTTCTATTAATAATATTTTTCATTTGGTTAAGTAAAGTCTGGGCTTTTCATTGTCTTTTAGCAGACAAAACATCTTATGTTACGATATCCTCATCTTTGCTTCTCTACAGCAAATCAAGTAATCCAAAGTATTCAGATTACGTTACTCACTATAAGTAATTTAATGGATTAAGTTACAAACTACATTTTGGGGTATGTAATATGTAATTTGTAAGGGAATACATTTTAAAAGTCACCTTCCCAACACTGAGTACAAACGTTGAGTTTTCTCACTTGACTAAACGTAAAGGTAGACATTGAGCTATAAATACTGTTCCCTGTAGCTTAGAAGTCTAAACTACTTACAGTATACATTAGTGATGGGCAGATGAAGCTTCATGAGGCATTGAAGCCTTTCATCCAATTGGTTAACTCCAGCTCAAAGCTTCTTGAAGCTTCATTTGCTCTGGCAGGACATCTACTGGACACAAAAATATCAGCTGACATGAATTTGAAGTGTGTGACATTTTGCAGAAAGCCTGTGAATAAAACTGTCAGCAAAATAAAGCAGTATGCAAAACATGTGTATTGCAGTGATGGCAGTGTATGTCTATATACTGGCAATATGGAAAATTATTATTTGGAAATTGATGATTTTATTTTATTTTTTTTATTACAAAAACATAACAAGACAGAACAACAAATATATATACAGTATAAAGTGCAGATTGGATTGTTGTTGCATCAATGCAAAGTCCAGTTCACAGTTATGGCAGGAGTGAGGTATGGAAAATATACATTCATACACATAAACATACATACATCCGTTTTTTGTTTTGTTTTTTTTAATCCTATATTATGGGGGTAGTTTGCAAATTACCGTACAGGGGAGCAGAAAGAATAAGACTGGAAATGATGAAAATGGAAATCCGAACCACTTCCTGAATGAGTCACGTGGTAGAGCCGGGCAGCGAGGCTTCGGACGTCATTATATTCAGCTCCTCCCCTAAATGAAGCAAGCCTCAATACGCGCATCACAGAAACACCCCCTCCCTACTCGGCACACGCTTCGAAGCCTCGATATGGAACGTCACATCACTAGTATACACGTCACAGACAAAATCTGGGTCAGATATCTAATTTCTTTCTATCATGTCACATACAGGTGCACTGGATGCTGCTGCTGCACGCATACAGCAGTTAGAAGAAGAAATGAAGGAACTGACAACAGAGCTGGCACAGTTGAAAGTGGCTCAAGTGTGTTTTCGTAAATTTTGTGTATCAGATAAGGATATTTTTTTTTACACAAGATTCACTTCAAGAGATGTTTTTTGTGATTTCTGGGAGGCTTTACAACCATCTGCTTCCAAAGTGGTTTATTGGTCTAAATCGCAGAAAACGGCACAAACATCTGAACCCTTATCTCCCAGTCCCACACAGAAACTGCAACTGGTTGATGAGTTTTTTCTTTTCTGCTGCCGAGTTGCTGCAGGCTTGCAAGAGAAGGTGCTGGCTGACATGTTTCAGGTCAGTGTGTCCACGGTCTCCCGTGTTGTTATAACATGGGCCAACTACCTGTACCTGATCCTTGGCTCCCTTCCCATCTGGATGAGTAAACAACAAGTCAGGAACACCATGCCAAGTCAATTTGTACAGTACTGTCCAGATGTTCGGGTGATCATTGACTGCACTGAAGTGCGATGCCAAACTCCATCATCCCTCACTCTCCAGTCAGACGTTTTCTCATCATATAAAAACACGACAACCTTCAAGGGCTTAATTGGGATTGCCCCGTGTAGTGCTGTGACTTTTGTGTCAAGTCTCTTCACCGACTCCATCTCTGACCGAGAGCTGACTGAAAAAAGTGGACTGCTTGACCTACTTGAGCCAGGAGATGGCTGCATGGCAGACAAGGGTTTCAACATTGAGAAGCTGCTAGCTGACCGTGGGGCAACGCTGATTATACCACCCTTCAAGATGACAGGTAGGCATCAAATTTCACTTTGAATATTTCAAATTAAAACTAAAACTCAAATTAAAACTGTGACCAAAATGATAATTTATATGTGCAGACAAATGTTTAAGTACTGTGTCCCTCACTGAAATAATAGAAATTAACTTATGTCACCTCTAACCACAGCGCAGTTTACTGAAGAGGATGCTCTAAAAACACAAGCAATTGCCCAACTTCGAATCCTTGCAGAAAGAGCAATACGCAGAATCAAGGAATATCACGTCTGGAAACACACCCTCCCTCTAAACTTGTCTGGGACAGTCAACCAGCTGTGGACTGTCTGCTGTGTGATGTCCATGTTCCAGGGACCACTTGATTTAAAATGATACATCCCTGTTGAATAGTTTTCCCTCCAATCACATGAATTTAACTGTATACTGAAAATATTGTAAATATTGCATGAGATGTATGATCATTCCTGTATAATAAACTGTAAAGATCAATCTGTCCTGAAAGTATTGTAAACATGTAATGTAGTAAAAATATATAAATGAATCAAAAAAAAGAATAAAAACCTTTAGTCATTCAGTTCCTTTATTCATTCAGTTCACTTCACTTTCTGCTGAAGATACATTCATATATGTACCAAAGAAGTACAGGTCCACCTTCTCTTTCATCTCTTTTATCATTTCATCATCCCTCCAGACTCTTTCAACTGTTAAGTCCACCTCATTGTCTGTTATAAAATCGCACCAACTCAATCCAGTCACTGCTCATCGGCCTTGAACCTGCCAGTGGTATTTATGATTCTCTTTAAGTTTTACCATTCACTATTTTTACATGTCCTGCCTCAGAAATACTAGAGATGTCTGGGCATTTCACTTCAGCAAGCCCAAAACACGGAATGGCACTTGGGTCATATACCCTTGCATCTGGTCTAGCCCCCAGGTGAGGAGCATCTGGATGAATAACAAATCCACAGCGTGAGACATTCACATCGAAGTATTTTGAATATTGCTCCAGCTCCTGTGTCTCCCAATCAAGGCCCATTTTCATTGCGGGAGTTTGGCGTACTCCTTTAAGTATCCGCACTGCCAGGGACTGACCAGAAGACAACCCTTTCACATGGCTAACCTCATCAAACCTACTAGCTGTTACTCCAGGCGTGCGTAAAGCTCGCCATAATGGGCATTCAGACTGCTCACGTGTTTGCTCCTCTCTCTGCTGCCATCTTGTGTGTCACAGTTAAATGTCCAAATGAAGAAACTGTTGGGAGTTTGGGTCAACGTTTGGAAAAGTAGTGGGAAATGTTGACCCCTCTAAAGGCAGTTTAGGGACTGTTGGTGCATTTGGGTGTTGGACGCAATTGGGTGTTGGAGAGAGAAGGACACTGGTAGGACAGCGGTGAACCTCGCGGCACAGGCCCAAACCTGGAATCAACCAGGGACATCTGAGATAAGACACGTAGCACTGAGGATAGTAGCAGTGTTGGGGAGTAACAGATTACATGTACTGGAGTTACGTAATCAGAGTACAAATTATGAGTAACTGTATTCAGTTACAGTTACTGTTTCAGTGAGTGGTAATTGGATTACAGTTACTTTGTTGAAATAAATGGATTACGGGGCAGTATTTTCCTGTTTTCACATTTTGGGCTAAACCAGGACTAAAAGCAGGACTAAACCAGGATTAAACCAGGTCTAAAACCAGGACTAAACCAGGTCTAAAACCAGGACTAAACCAGGTATAAAACCAGGACTAACCCAAGACTAAACCAGGATTAAAACAGGTCTAAAACCAGGTCTAAAACCAGGACTAAACCATGACTAAATCCAGGACTAAACCAGAACTAAACCAGGTCTAAAAGCAGAACTAAACCAGGTCTAAAAGCAGGACTAAACCAGGTCTAAACCAGGACTAAACCAAGTCTAAACTAGGTCTAAACCAGGTCTAAACCAGGACTAAACCAGGTCTAAACCAGGACTAAAACCAGGTCTAAAAGCAGGACTAAACCAGGACTAAACCAGGTCTAAAACCAGGACTAAACCAAGCCTAAACTAGGTCTAATTAACAGTAGGGTGGACATAATTGAAGGCAGCAGTGATCTCATATAAAAATAATTTCTCTATCAGGATTTGTTTGTTACATTCATGTAGTTTTAAAAAGCATGACAATATCAAGTAATCCAAAGTATTCAGATTACATTACTCACTTTAAGTAATTTAATGGATTCCGTTACAAACTACATTTTGGGATATGTAATCTGTAATCTGTAGGGGAATACATTTTAAAAGTCACCTTCCCAACACTAGATATTAGTGGTTGGGGCCTGATGTTTTTGCAGTTTCTCCCCAAGAGACCAGACTGTGGGTCAGGCTCATGGATGGAGGGGAATTGTAAAGTGTAACGTATGTGTGACTCCTGCAGAGGGCGCTTTTTCTCCTTCTATTGGACTGTGTGCTCATGCTTCAGAACACCGCACTTTCTTTCTTGTGTTAATAGAAATGTTTTGTACAAAAAATAAAAGAAAGATTTTTACTTATGTATTTATTTTTGAATGAACAAACTTGAGCCTCTTCATGGATCTAGGATCACCATTGTTTTGGAAATGTCAAATAAAAATGTGGAGCAGCCCCACAAAATCTGTTAAAAAATCAGTTTAAAATGTATTCCCCTACAGATTACAGATTACATACCCCAAAATGTAGTTTGTAACGTAATCCATTAAATTACTTAAAGTGAGTAATGTAATCTGAATATTTTGGATTACTTGATATTGTCATGTTTTTTAAACTACATGAATGTAACAACCACATCCTCAAAATTCTCGTTTGTTCTCTTCAAATTGGCCCTGGTTCAGACCTGGTTTAGTCCTGGTTCAGACCTGGTTTAGACTTGGTTTAGTCCTGGTTTAGATCTGGTTTAGACCTAGTTTAGACCTAGTTTAGGCTTGGTTAAGTCCTGGTTTAGACCTGGTTTAGACCTGGTTTAGATCTGGTTTAGTCCTGGTTTAGTCCTGGGTTAGTCCTGGTTTAGACCTGGTGGTTTAGTCCTGGTTTAGTCCTGGTTTAGTCCTGGTTTAGACCTGGTTTAGTCCTGGTTTAGACCTGGTTTAGACCTGGTGGTTTAGTCCTGGTTTAGTCCTGGTTTAGTCCTGGTTTAGACCTGGTGGTTTAGTCCTGGTTTAGACCTGGTTTAGTCCTGGTTTAGACCTGGTTTAGTCCTGGTTTTACCTGGTTTAGACCTGGTTTAGTCCTGGTTTAGACCTGGTTTAGTCCTGGTTTAGTCCTTTAGTCCTGGTTTAGTCCTGGTTTAGACCTGGTGGTTTAGTCCTGGTTTAGTCCTGGTTAGTCCTGGTTTAGTCCTGGTGGTTTAGTCCTGGTTTTAGACCTGGTTTAGTCCTGTTTAGTCCTGGTTTAGTCCTGGTTTAGACCTGGTTTAGACCTGGTGGTTTAGTCCTGGTTTAGACCTGGTTTAGTCCTGGTTTAGTCCTGGTTTAGTCCTGGGTTAGTCCTGGTTTAGACCTGGTGGTTTAGTCCTGGTTTAGACCTGGTTTAGTCCTGGTTTAGACCTGGTTTGGTCCTGGTTTTAGTTCTGGTTTAGCCCAAAATGTGAAAACAGGAAAAGACCGCCCTGTAATCCATTTATTTCAACAAAGTAACTGTAATCCAATTACCACTCACTGAAACAGTAACTGTAACTGAATACAGTTACTCATCATTTGTACTCTGATTACGTAACTCTGGTACATGTAATCTGTTACTCCCCAACGGCTGGGGTAATGGCTGACCCTAAACCATGTTTACAGTCACATGTTCACACATTTCTGCTGTCGTGTACAAAAAAATATTCAATTTGAAGTCTGGGAAAGTAGTTTTCAAGAGTAACTGAATGTAACAACTCATTTAAAATGTGGATTTAAAGCATTGGGAAGGTCAAAAAAAAAAAATCATAACCTGCTCTTTTCTAAGGACAGACCACAAAAATAAGAAAAGCAGAAAAACTCCTCAGAGAAATACAAATAGGCTACTGCTAAAGTACTTCCTTGAAAATACTGCCACCACCTCAGTTAAAGATTATTGAATGATGTCATATAGTATTTTCTGAGTAAACAGAGTGTGGGCCAGAAGCAGAAGGTGCAGCTCATAACTGTAACTGCAGTAAACTCACTGTTCTCTATGGGAGTGGCTCTGATAACACAGGTCCAAAGTCCAGCTCCATCAGACAGAGGGTGTGGAGCTGCACCTGCCAAACTGCCCCTGTCATCCTACTCAGGAAGAATGTAGGCCACACCTGTCCCCAGCCACATTCAATAACATCTCCATGAGCAGAGGGGGGTACTCACTTACATTTACTCACTTACATTTACTCACTTACATTTACTCACTTACATTCACAGTGGGTAAGAAAGTATTCAGACCCTGTTACATTTTTCACTCTTTGTTATATTGCAGCCATTTGCTAAAATCATTTAAGTTCATTTTATTTTCATTTTCATTAATGTACAAACGGCATTGCATATTGACAGAGAAACACAAAATTATTGACATTTTTGCAGATTTATTAAAAAAGAAAAACTGAAATATCACACGTCCATAAGTATTCAGAGCCTTTGCTGTGACCCTCACATATTTAACTCAGGTGCTGTCCATTTCTTCTGATCATCCTTGAGATGTTTCTACACCTTCACTGGAGTCCTGCTGTGTTGGATCAAACTGACTGGACTTGTTTAGGAAGGCCACACACCTGTCTGTAGAAGACCTCACAGCTCACAGTGCACATCAGAGCAAATGACAATCATGAGGTCAAAGGAACTGCCTGAAGAAGAGCTCACGGACAGAACTGTGGCAAGGCACAGATCTGATCTGGCCAAGGCTTAAATGAAGCATGTTTGGGACGACCAGAACTCTTCCTCGAGCTGGACGTCCGGCTAAACTGAGCAATCAGGAGAGAACAGCCTTGGGGAGAGAGGTAAAGAAGAAACCAAAGATTACTGTGGCTGAGCTCCAGAGATGCAGTCGGGAGATAGGAGAAAGTTCTAGAAAGTCAACCATCACTGCAGCCTTCCACCAGTCGGGGCTTTATGGCAGAGGGGCCTGACAGAAACTTCTCTTCAGTGCAAGACACATGAAAGCCCACATGGAGTTTGATAAAAAACACCTGAAGGTCTCCAAGATGATGAGAAATGAGATTCTCTGGTCTGATGAGACCAAGATAGAAGTTTTTGGCTTTAATCCTTAGTGGTATGTGTGTAGAAAAGCAGGCACTGCTCATCACCTGTCCAGTACAGTCCCAGTGAAGTTTGGTGGTGGCAGCATCAGGCTGTGGGGTTTTTTTTCAGCTGCAGGGGCAGGACGACTGGTTACAATCGAAGGAAAGATGAATGTGGCCAAGTACAGGGATATCCAGGAGAAAAACCTTCTCCAGAGTGCTCAGGACCTCAGACTGAGCTGAAGGTTCATCTTCCAACAAGACAATGACCCTAAGCACACAGCTAAAATAATGAAGGAGTGGTTTCAGGACAACTCCATGACTGTTCTAGAATGGTCCAGTCAGAGCCCTGACCTAAACCTAACTGAGCATCTCTGGAGAGACCTGAAAACCTTCACCATTCAACCTGACAGAACTGGAGAGGATCTGGAAGGAGGAATGGCAGAAGATCCCCAAATCCACATGTGAAAAACTTGTTGCATCATTCCCAAAAAGACTCATGACTGTATCAGCTCAAAAGGTGCTTCTACTAAAGACTGAACAAAGGCTCTGAATACTTACAGCCGTGTGATATTTCAGTTTTTCTTTTTTAATAAATCTGCAAAAATGTCAATAATTTTGTGTTTCTCTGTCAATATGCAGTGCTGTTTGTACATTAATGAGGAAAAAATGAACTTAAATGATTTTAGCAAATGACTGCAATATAACAAAGAGTGAAACATTTAATGGGGTCTGAATACTTTCTGTACCCACTGTACCTGAGAACTTGTACTTTTCTAGCAGCATACTTTTACACCTACTTGAGTATTATTTTGATTGAAGTAACAGTACTCTTAAGTTGTGCTTCCTCTTCCCACTGTGAGTACACAAGTGACAAAATGAAATGATTTAAACATTTGTGTTTCTTGTGGTGTTTCTTCAGATATGTTTGAGTTTGTCTGATTTTTGTGTCTGTCCATTGAAAATACAACATCATGTGCATTTTTTAAGTTTCTTCAAATTAGATTAACTTCAAATTATGCATTAGATGTTACATCTCAACAATACTGGTACACTGTACAATATATTACTCAAGCACGAGTAAAAGTATGGTGTACTACATACTCAAGTATATTTGTGTACATGTAATTAAGTACAACCCACTTCTGGAAATGAACCTGTGCCTCATCAGGTTCCAAGTCAAACACCTCTCAGGTCATAACTCACTCTCGTCGGGGTCACATTGACCTGAAGACAATTTTTTTCCCTTCTCGCTCTCTTGGGGCGGGTCAGTCAGACCCAAAAATGTATTTTCTCACCTGGCGAGAATTTATTTGAAAATACATTTTTGGGTCTGATTGACCCGCCCCAAGAGAGCGGGAAGGAAAAAAAAAATTGGGTCAATGTGACCCCGAGGACAGTGTGAGGGTTTTTTTAAAAGGAGCTACTCCAATAGTAGAGCAACTGAAACACAGGACTCATCTAGATCTGAACCAGACACAAGTTAAAATAATATGTTCAGTTTATTACAAAAATAGACAATAAAATGTCAATAAAATACAAAAGGCAGGTGAACAGTCTGGACACTGAGGGAGGGGAGCTCAGGACTCAGGACCCAGGACTCAGGACCCAGGACCCAGGACTGGACTCTGGAATGACAGTCACACATCAGGCTGTGGTTAGAGACAATCCACCAGACAAAAACTAATATAGAGCAGGAAAAAGTAAAATAAGCAATAAGCAAAAAGACAAACATTTTTCTTGGTGAATATGACAACTATCTTAAAGTTCACACAGTTTTTAAGAAACAGTCTGTGAGGTTCTCAACTGAACGTGTGCTGCCAGTGTCTTCGCCTGCAGACAGAGACACATCCAAGTTTGTCTCATTCTCAGTTTATGGACACAACATGTCTCATGTGAAGCTCAAGTCCCTCCCTGAGCTGCAGAGGCTGCACTAGCACTGGTTCATGCCTGGCTGCAGGGACTGGGGTTTAGTGACTGTTTAAAGGTCAAACATTACAAGAAATTGAAAGTTGTGAGCTTGAATCCATGTTATAATGCTGTTGCCTTCTCAAAAATCCAGCCTCCCTGGAGTTGTGTTTTGTTCCTTCACATGTTTGAGTAACTCTGTTATTAGTCTGTTTATACTGTGGCTGTACCGGCTTGTCAAAGTCTGATCGTGTCAGATGTCAGAAGTTAAACAATGCCGGGTCTGGTCAGTACTTGGATGGGAGACTCTGGGAACACCAGATGTCACAGTGGAGCATCTGTGGCAAAAATTGTTGTGTCCTTAGGCAAGACACTTCACCCATATTACCTAGAAGCAAAGTGGTGTGTGCATGAATGCTTGTGGTGGTCGGAGGGGTCAGTGGTGCAGATTGGCAGCATTGCTTTCATCAGTCTGCCCCAGGGCAGCTATGGCTACTATCATAGTATCTCACCATCAGAGAGTATGGAATGAATGAATAACACATTATAAAACATCCGAGTGTCCAGAAAAATGCTATATAAAAGTGATCCATCTCCAAAGCTCAAAATGCTCTGTTCCACCTTGTGATGTCATGAAGTGGTAGTTTTCAGGTTAATAGCTATAGGGTATAACTTTTACTTTTTGTTCAGTAGAAAATAGCAACTCCAAAGCTGAAATGATCCAAATGATTCTAGTAAAGGAGAATGGAGTTTAAAACACAGTGGATCCTGTATCACCACATGACATCACAAGGTGGAAGTGTTTTTTTTTTTCTGTTTGAGAGAAGAACTCAGCCTAAATGTGCAGGGTTTGTGTGAAACATGTATGAATGAAACGATGTTAGAACATACAGATCAGAAAATAGTGTCATATGGGCCTTTAAACCAGCGAGTTATTTTCAACATTAAACTGGCAACACAAATGAGACATGTGAGGCATTGTGATAATAGTTTTAAGAACCAAAACACCAAACTCTAACAATTTGGCCATGTCCAATGTTTCTGCGATGAACAAAGTCTCATCTGAGTTTAAATGGCGACTGTACTTGGGACACGCTCACAAAACAGTGTGCTCCTGCAGCACACCAGCACTCCAGACCCTGGCACTCCAGACCCTGGCACTCCAGACCCTGGCACTCCAGACCCTGGCACTCCAGACCCTTCTTCAAATGAAACGTCCACTCCACTCTGAAGGTACGGTCAGGACATGGACTTCACAGAACCATTCACACATGAGCAAGAACAACACACCCATGTACACAACACCTGTGAGCACTGAACCAGCAACTTTCAGATTAGTGGGTGAACAACGCTAACCAATACTCCAATGTCCAATATTCCAAACATTTAACTGAAATGGCGATGGCCAGGCTGGTCTTGGGGCTGCTCCTGGGGCTGGTCCTGGGAGGCCTGTGTCCAGTCCGCTGCTACTGTTTTGTGAATGATTGACAGGTGATAAGCCCGCCCCGCCTCAGGCTCAAAGCACACAGCACACTGGGACAAGTGCACCATTCTTGGTTCAGTCTCAAATTCCCACACTGGAAGTGACCTAGAGGGGTGTTTGTAGTGGAACGAAAACTAAATCACTACAGTTTAAAGTGACGAGCCAATATTCCACAGCGGAGATGCACTTTGGGTCAAGTTCTAACGCAGTGCGCTCACCTGTGTGCCGTCATGTGGGCAGGGTCTCTGTGGCGGGCACGCGCTCTGTTGTCATGGTTGCCATGCCAACATTCACCTGTGTCACCCGCTGTGCTTCGGAGCCGTGCGCGCGGCCGTTCCTCCGAAACGATGCTCGGACGGTACCGGACACACGGCTGGAGAGGCGGCGCACTGCGCCCCCCAGCGCCCCCAGCGCCCCGCGCTTCTTCGGTAACAGCCCCACGTCGTCCTCCAGCTCTGCTGGTGGAACTTCGATGTTCCCCGAGTACCAGAAGACCCACCACACTAGGCTGAGGAAGATGATGATGGCGCCCGCGTAGATGAGCAGGTCATAGAAGAACACGTTGACAAAGACCCCTAAGAGCAGCACGAGCAGCCCCAGCACGTCAAACACCACCGCGAGCCAAAAGCTGCACGCGCAGCGACCCAAGCCCCTGTACAAGGGCTCCTTACCGGGCTCCATGCTGCGCACCTGTCCGCTAAAGTGAATGTAACGCGCGGCAGGTGAGACTCTCGAGGAGGGGCCAGTGTCTGGGGGAGGGTTCACCTGACTGCCCAGGATCAGGTGTCTGTACCTGCGCGCACTGATCCGGAACAGAGCGGCGGAGGCTGCGCGGACTCACCCACAGGCCGCAGTGTGAACCCTGCTCCCGGGCTCTTCTGCTCTGAGCCAACCGCTTTATTACTGTCCCCGCTTCCTGTGGCGACAGAGCGCAACCTGCAGGGGAACGCCGCTCTGTAGACATGGCTGTGCGCCGTTACGCACAACACTGAGATGTGCGGAGGCTTCCACGTGTGCCGGAGCCTCATGTGACGCTTCAGTGACCGGGGGCAGAGGGATATACAGAGGGGCGCAAGACTAGAAGGATAAAGGCTGTGGCTGTCATGTTTTAAGGGCCTTAAAACATTGAGGTTTAATTTACGCACAATGAACAGGATTTCTGGGGGAGCAGAGAAAGCAGCAGCACAGGTGGAGGTGCAGGCTTCAGACCTCAAAACAGGCACACCAAACATCATCTCTTTAGAAACTTCATCGTTTCCTGCAGGGGGCGCGAGGACAGGGAGGGGGGCACATTAATATATATTCTAATATTATTAAACAGTAATATTAAATAATATAGTAATATTAAATAAAAATGGTATAGGTGCGAGCCATTATAAACATGTTCTAGTTGAAGCATTAGAAAGTCTTGAGCAGCAGGTCCAGGTCAGGGCAACGGGTCCCATCATGACCTACAGATATTGTAAACCATCCAATAAGCACACTGATATTATGGGCCTTGCATATAAAGTAGCCTGAGCGCCACTGGAGAAGTGACACATGTACAATAGAAATGGTAAAGAATGCTGTGCTGCCCCCTGCTGGCTGTGGACAGAACACCTGGTTAACTCAGTAAATACAAGCTGGGTTCCCAATGTTAGACGTTTATTGTCATAGTTGTGGCTTTAATAACATTTGCACACGCTCGAGCACACGCTGAACGCCACACAACCAAAGGTCAAAGCAAAGGAGACTCTGGTCTCAGGGATTCAAATCATTCATCTGCAATTTATGCTCAAATCATCTTCCAAGCAAAACTCTGGTCCACGTCTGACCGCAGATACAGCTACCATTGGTCAGTGTCATGTATGTATGCACAAAAAGACATGGAAGAAAATGGAAATGTAATGTGTTTGGGTGAATGGCATAGCTGAGCTCTCAATATGAGAAAGCCGACTCGTGTAGTCTTGTTCTTGGTCTAGTAAAAACGGGTTGGATTTTCCGTAAGTTTGTCTGGTGTCTGCCTCAGAGGACAGAGCTGTGGAGTATCTCCTGTGGCTCTGCAGCAGAAGAACCATGAGGAGGACATGAGGAGGTCCTGAGGCATTCAGTCCCGCTCTGTGATCAGCTTCAACACCTTCCCGATGGCGATGGTCTTTCCTGAGGGGGACAACAGGGTAGGGTTACACAGCTGCTCGTCTTCACAACTACTACACTTCTGTTAGAGTTGGTCTAATGTAAATAGTTTCTTAAATGTATTTTGTACCCGCTCAAGGACTGCAGATGGAAAGTACCTTGAAGCTAAATCTGGCACAGAGCATCTTTTCTCTCTGAGATGAATGTTTTCTGTGCACTGTCCTCGTTTTAAATAAATAAGGCTCATCTCCTCCATTACTCTCCATCATAGGCACAGTGGCCAGTGAATGTACACTGCTCCCACACAGTTACAAACCTTTATTCAAGCTGCGGCAACAGCCCCTCGTCACCATAGCAATTTAACAACTCAACTCTACATATCATGTTAAAATATGAAAATGAACATTATTAACAGAGCTCACCTTCGTCTCTCAGGGTGAAGCGGCCCATCTGAGGGAAATCCTTGAAGGTCTCCAGACAGATGGTTCCTGCTGCGCGCAGTCGGGCGATGCACACCTGGTCCTGTTTGACGAAGCGTGGCCGCGTGCGGCTCCTCTCTCCCGTCTTTTTGTCCACCAGACAGCGGAAGGCCTTTGAGACACAGAGCATCAGACCTACACTGTACATGAGCGCACAACACACAAGGGCCAGGGCTATACGGCCACATGACTGGAACTGAAGTCAGCAGTGATGATGAACTCGCAAACTGGGCACAGACACGTGTTTTAGGACTAGACAGATTAGCTTCCTCCAGGGGGAATGCCCAGTCTGTATAGGTTCACACACTCACAGCACTGATCCAGTGACTAAACTATGTGCTCACCACTTTCAGTGTGGAGAGTTTAGTTCTGTGTTCTGAAGATTCATGACTTAAAAAGAGTAACTGATACAGTGAGGATCTCCCTCTCCTCTCACACACTTTCATCACCAGTCACATTTGGCAGAAGAGCCTGACTGGTTGATGTGATTTACTCCTGAAGTTGAGCTTTTCCACATGTGGCGCCTGTCCCACCAGTCCATGTAGCGATGTGACAGTGGCTTAAAGCCTGGCTCAGGGTGAAGGCTACAAATGTAGAGTGTGCACAATGTCTCACCGTGATCTCCACCTCCTCGATGCACGTGTGCACGTGCAGCACTGCGTTATAGCCCGCACAGATGATGGACTTGTGCTCGATGATTACGATCTGAAACACACACAGACTAGTGCTCAGTCACACATCTGAAATAAAGTACATAAAGAGTTTTCACACTAAACCACATTTCATTTCTACTTTGAAATGAACTAGCTATTATTATTTTAAACTGCTCATTAAACTACACAGAGTAGAGCAAACAAAAAACTATTTGAACTGTCAACATAGACCTTCATATACAAGGGTGTGAATTACCACAAAATCCATTTTTAGAGACCCACACCCGCCCGGACCCATTAACATTCTATCTGTTACTGCCCGTGCCCTTGATAACCCAGGACTAACCCAGGACTAACCCAGGACTAACCCAGGACTAACCCAGGACTAACCCAGGACTAACCCAGGACTAACCCAGGACTAACCCAGGAAGACCGTGGGGTGACCGCAGGTGAAAGGACCGCTGCAGCTCCGCGCTGCATGGAGGTAAACGTAGCCGTCACCCAATCGGGCTTTGCAGACACCTGCTCTGTGTGCTCTCTTAAGTCTGTGGGTAACCGACGTGGTGCAGGACTCTGACCCGAGCTGCCATAGAGAGAGCTGGAGAAATGCAGCGGCACTCGTTCCTAAGTCAAATGTTACTTCTCCCGCTACACACACTAAATCCACACGACAACCAAAGTACATGTGCATCTGCACAACAGATTACATCCCATGTGTAATCAGGACATTATCTTAACTGATATGATGGAACCGATAGTCGCACCAGCACATTTTTTCAGTATATTTTTATGATATTGGTGCATGTTTACTACAGAATAAATGTAGAGTGGAGCGTGGGTCTGACCTGTGCATCAAAGATGCGTCCTGAGTGGCACAGGTTGTCTGGGGTGCACAGGATGAAGCCGGGCAGGATCTCCTCCTCTTCGATGCCTTTGAGTCGGATCTTCAGGTTCTCCCCTGGTCCTGCATCTTCTGTCTCGACCTCGTCAGACAGCAGGCCCAGCACCTCCACCACATGCTGGGGCAGAAAGGGCACAGGTCAGGGTGCAGAAAGGGCATGGGCCAGGTCAACACTTATGTTTTTGTTTGGTCAGCCAAAGCTTTGTGCGTGAGGGCTGTAGTTCTGCAGTTGTCCTAGTCGAACCAAATGTGTATTAATCGACTGATCATGTTTTTTATATGATCAGGATTGATATCGGACAAGAACAGACAGGAGGAGTGAGCAAAGGAGCTGAAGATATGGTATTTTTGGGTATTTCGAAGTAAAAAGTCAGATTAAACTTGTGATTCACAAATTGAATCTGTCTTTATATAAATACATTGTTTCCTAGTATGTTTTTTTGCATAAACAGTTTTTGCATGAGCTCCCCCAGCAGGTGTAGTCTAGAAGTGCAGTTCGGGTCATATACTGTACATAAAGAGGCTTTTTGAACTACCTGATTAGCATTACCTCAGATTCAGACTGCACGCAGTGCAACTCCAGTCCTGTGGCTCAAAATATTCCTTCTAATTACATTAAGTAGTGAGAGGAGCTCAGAGCACTCATGCAGTCTGATGGTGCTGGTGGAGGTACTGTGGCGTTGGATTCTATTTTTGCTAGACGCTGAAGCAACAGCAGCCTTTTGCCTTCATAAATGAGAAGTTATGGTGTGAACACGTGGTCTCTGTGCAGCCTTCAAAAGGTGCTGACCACAGCAGAGCACCAATCGTCGTATGAGTGTCACATCACAATAAGACTGCTCCCACACTGAGCTGCAGATGGACCAGGCACAATCTGAGCCAGTGGAGGAGTTTTGCTCCCAGAAGAAAAACATCTGTGTACTTTTTAATTAAAAAAAATAAATAAAAGATCCAGTCGTGTACAAGAGACAGTGATTAGCTTGGGTTTGGAGAGGTCTGCAGACATGCATGTGGTCTGGAGCAGACTGAGGAAGAAATAATATTCTATTGTGCTAAATGGCATAGATTTAAAGCCTGTACAGTTTGCATTTATGAAATGAAGATAGCTATAACCACAGAGGGGATATTACACTTCTCCAGGGTATAAACTGATAAAACATAACATGCATCAGAGTACAACCGGCATGCTTTGTGAAGCAATTTCATCTTGAACGTACAACTGGACATAATTTTACACAGTAAGAAGTAACAAGGGCTGCTGGTATGTATGGATGACATAAAACCACTTCAAGGAAGGTTTTTGAAAAATTCAAAAGAAATGCACTTGATTTTGTCTAAATAATAACTATTAAAATGGCTTTGAGTATTTATTTCCTGAACATAATAAAACACTAAGCCATGCTTTCACTGAAGCTTGGCTGACCATAACATATGAATCTCTGTTCCTTTCTAGGTGTGCAAAGTAGATGTGTTGTGTGGAGCTTTACCCTGTTGGGCATCATGACCAGCTGCTGGCCTTTAATGATGGAGCCAGACTCCAGTTTGCCCAGCACCACAGTGCCCATGTCCTGGGGAGAGAGTACAGGTTACACACAGCACTGACCCCTGACCTTTGGGTTAGGGTTAGGGTTAGTGCTGCAAAAGTACCTTATACTTGTCTACTATAGGCAATCGGACCGGCCCGTCTCTGGATCTGTTCAGGTTTGGCAGGCTATCCAGGTGTGGAATGAAAGGTAATCCTCTACAACAGAAAAACATCAGACTAATGTTTACACAGCTTTCTACTTCAAAAATGTCAGCCATTGCATTCCAGAGTTCATGGGAACACTTCCGTCTCCATTAACTCCGTCAACACTTATGCCTCTTATTGGTCAATCAGATCACTGCTATGAGTGACTGAAACACAGATTCAAACATTTGCAAAAGTATGAATTTTCAGAGGAAACAGACTACTGCAGTTACCTCTCCAACAAGGAGAGAAAAAAAAAGATTCTTAAAAAGATCGCTATTCTACATATCAGTGATTCTGGATCAATTCCAAATTCTCAAAAATAGATTACAGTAATATTTCCCCTTAAAATAAACCTGACACTGACTTTGCGGAGTTTACGCGTTTCTCTTTGTCAGTAAATCTGGAATAGGCCAGTGCACTGTATTAAATGTTTACAACATTCTATTTTTCATGGATATACAGTTAAAACAAGGAACCTGAAATGTGTAAAATGAGCATTCTTATGGGTTCAGAATTGAATTTAGAATCATTGTTGAATCAAATGGGGACCCCAATAATCAAAATGTAACCACCAGGGACTTAAAGATTCATACCTCGACCTTCCAAGGCTTGTTTGCATATGGCACAGCCCTAAAAGGAGTTTAACACAACATAACCTGTGTGTGTGCATCTGTGTGCAGACTTACATGTACCAGGGGCACAGGTCCGTGGGGTCCTTCAGGTTGGCCCCCGTCAGCCCTGAGCAGGGCATGAAGTGAATGTCTTTCTTTGGGTTGAAGCCCACTTTCTTTAGGAATGGCATTAGTTTGTCTTTACACTCTTCATATCTGTGGGGAGGGAGTGAGTAAAGAGTTAAATAGTCTAAAATACTACTAATGATCTATTCCACATTTGTCTGCTCAATCATACACAAAGATCTTTATGCACATTGTTCATTATATTGATGTAAAATGACTTGAAGGGCCATTATGACACCATTTTCTGATCTGCTGTAATGTTGTCTCACACAACACCGTAGTGTTTTGTTTCCAGCTTTGGAGATGTAGACAGACTAATATAGGATTACTCAAACATGTGAATGAAACAAAACTCCAGGTATGTTTTTTTATTTATTTGAAAGGGACACTGCACACTAAATGTATTGCACAGAGCAGATTTTCATGTGCAGTCTCTAGGCAGAGGCAAAGTGACAACAGGTTAATAATGTGGAGGCACGGCATCAAATAGCCCATGGAACATTTAAAATAGGAATGTCCTGATCACATTTTTTTGCTGTTTCCACCGTCTCCACCAAAAGCGCCAGCTCTGCTACACAACATACAAACAAACAGAGCCAGGTGACGCCATCGGCCCTGCGGGTGTGAACATGGGCCATAGAACCCCAGGCCACAGTGCCCGAGCACTGCACGGCCTAAAAGTCCCAGAGCGAGTGCGCCTCTAGTACAGTACGACTGGACGTCCCTGAGCAAATCCCACAAAAACAAAAAACTGTTGTGTCCTGTGTGTCGTATACACATTTATCCGATACTTGATCAAAACATAACGTCAGAGTCAGGATCGAGTCCGCAGTCACATGATCAGCGTCAATTTCCGATCACGTGATCAGATCGGGACAACCCTAATTTAAAATACAACTAATAAAATGGCAACAATCCATCACCATCAGAGGGCAGCCCATCGGCACTCCAAACACAGATTTACATACATATTGAAATATTCATATACTATATATATATATACATATACACTATATTACACCCACAGACAGCAGGATCGCTAATGGTGTAGTCATCCCTACGCTCCCTCACAGACACAGGCCCCTGCTGCAATTCTGTCAAAACGTGGTAGATCTAAAATTCATATAAAGGTCTCCTCTAGACGAGGCTCTGATTGTCCTGAATCCTGCTACTTCAAATGATTTTACAAAAACTTTTAAGGGTGTGGCCACCTGGTTGTGAAAGGTGCTGATAAGGTAACAGAACCATAACATAGCTTGAAGCTCAGTAAGAACAAAATGGTTCCATAACCTTCTAGTAGGATTAATTCTTGCCAGCCCCTTTACCTTGATGTCACATTGACATGTGACATTTGTGATATGTGTCCAAACCACAAAACCAACATAGGTCAATTGGAAGGAGATATTTCTGACTATGTATTGTGAAAAGCTTACAGTGTTCGTGGATTACACCATAAACAGTGTAAAGACAGAAGTGGCTCACCTCTCCAGGCTCCAGTTGACTGTGGGGTCATCCATCTTGTTGACCAGGACAATGAGGTGCTTGACCCCTGCTGTTTTGGCCAACATGGCATGCTCCCGTGTCTGCCCAGCCTTCTCAAAGCCAGTCTCAAACTCTCCTTTCCTCGCTGAGATCACCTGCAGCACAGTGCATGTGTCAGATAACCTCTACATCAGGGTTTGTTACTGGGACCCAGTCTTATTAAATGTATTGTATTCTTTTGATTTTTATGGCTTGTGGCTCTACTGTGGGCCCCTTGTAGAAGATGAGATTCTCCACTGCATACTCACCAGCACAGCCAAGTCTGCCTGAGAGGCTCCTCCGATCATGTTGGGGACAAAGCTCTTGTGTCCTGGGGCGTCCAGGATGGTAAAGTGCTTTTTGTCGGTCTCAAAGTAGGCCCGCCCCACCTCTACCGTCTTCCCTTTATCCCGCTCCTCCTGGTTGGTGTCCAGTGCCCAAGACAGGTACCTGGGGCAGACAACACATTTAGGATCCTTGGGTGAACTTCAGAGTAGAGCTGTAGGCCTGTAAGTCGACTTTCTAAATTTTGTATTAGCCGAGAATAATTGTATTTACACAAATTTATAAAGGTGAAGTGAGTGAATCTGAAGATTTGGTATTTTATGTAGAGAGGCAAATTAAACTCATGATTCACATGTTGAATCTGTTTTTATAAAAATGCATTGTTTCGTAAATAATTCCTAGGCACCTCACATGCAGGTATACTCTTGTGAGTACAGTTTGAGTCATGTAACAATCGATCGGCAGCACGTCTTTAATTTTTAGTGGACTCCAGCCCTACTTCAGAGTGATGGGATAAACAGTTCCAGGCCTCACCAGGTCTCTCTGTTCTTCTCCTTGGCCTCCCTTTCGTACTTCTCCAGTGTCCTCTTGTCCACCATGCCCGTCAGGTACCTGCAGCAGAGGCACCAGTGAGCTCTGGGTTATGAACTCGTGTGCTAGAAGAGGCTTTAGGAGAAGACAGTACTCACATGATCTGCCCTCCGATGGTGGACTTGCCAGCATCTGTCAGACACAACAGGGACAAGGTTACTGTTAGCAGAACCTATTCAGACAGAGTTCAGCACCACGCACAAGGGTTGTGTAAAGTGTCGAAAATCTGATACAAATATTAAAAACTTAATATAAAAATAAAAAATGACATAACTGGATAAAATGTTACCTTCCCTGAACAGTTTCATCTCAAGTTTTACCAACTAGTGTACAACCACACGGTGTAATAAACAAATAAAATTTTTTGTGTGGAAAATTTGAGAATTGTCTTAAAAGAGCTTCTAAAATAATTTGAGTATCAAAATTTGTGTCGAGTATCTAGTCTTTTCTTTAGTATCAAAATCAAGTTTTTATATTGTGACAGAACCATCAGGGATCACTGCTTATACTGCTGTTCTTACACAGCCCAAGCAGGAGAGAGGTCGGCTTATAACCACAACAACAACAGATTTATTTATTTAGCTCATGAGCTTCAAACCATGTTTATAATGTTGCCTCATCAAAAACGCACCTGGAGTTGTTTTGATTCATTCACATATGTTTGAGAAGCCCTTTATTACTGGTAGTCTGTCTACACCTCCAAAGCTCAAAATGTTCTGTTCCACCTTAATGTCATGTCATGTCATGTAGTGGCAGTTTTCAAGTTCACAGCTACCTTTTAACCTTTGATCAATAAAGTCTGGCATTTCCAGGGCTGAAATGATCAAAATGATTCTAGTGAAGGTGTACGGAGTTTAAAAACACAGTAGAGCACTTCCTGTATTACCACATGAGTTTTTTTCAGTTTGAGAGCAGAACTGCCTAAATATGCAGGATTTGTGTGTTTAACATGTGTGAATGAAACAAAACACAACTCCAGGCCTGTTTGTGATGAGGAAACAACATTATAGCACAGATGAGGAAATGGTGTGATACGGGCCCTTTAATTTAACGATGAATGAATCTTAAATATTTTTAATTTTGTTTACCAGGAGCACACAGCTTCTAGAAATGTAAAACTACTGCACCATTTTATTCCACCATAACCTGCACATCCCCACAGTACACTGTTTGTCTTAACCACTTTTACGTTCTGGTTTTTAACACCATGGGAGTTGTGTGTTCCTCTGTTTTTCATTTATTTGGATTTATGTCAATTAGGCTATTTTATAGTTTAATTATTTTACTCAGTTTTTATCATGTTTTTTTTATTTTTTTTTTTTATTGTGTTAAATAGTTGATTTTATTTCTCTATGCATAACATAGGTTTGTCAAAAGCATTGACAACAGATACTTATTGATACTAAAGCTAATATATGGCCATGGACCATTATGGGACCTACCTGCACAACTGAGATTTCACAGATACAAGGCCACGTGATATAAAAGTACTATTATTTAAAAGGTGTGCTATGTAATTTTTTGGTTGAGGGTCTGTCACCTGCTTGTGTCTATGGATATGTCATTGCTCTGCCTGGAATGTTTCACAAAATTACATTAAACTTTTAAACAGTTTAAACAGGCATTCTGACTGAGTGAATGAGGTTGACTCTCCACAGATCTGACCTGTAACTTGGTCTGGTTTAGACTCCATGAAGAAAGAAGAGACATAATGAGACACACTGTGGCTCAAACTGCTTTTCCTAAACAAGAGCATCCTCATCGACTCCAAGCACTTACTGCTTCATGATTGGCTGTAGACCTGTCAATTAAAATGTGTAAGCCTTATCATCGAGATCGACCAAAGTCGAAATCGCAATCTATTGAGCTTTCCATTTTTGGCACAGCCCTACTGTGAAGTATTCCAGACAAAGCAATAACATCTCCATGGAGAAAGGCATATGACGGACCCTCCACCAGAAAAGTTACACAATGCACCTTTATTGATGAAAATCACATTCTGTGGTTTAAAGAGACATGGTATTGGAATCAGTATTGTGCCTATTCCTGGGAATCAAAATCAAGACATTTTATGCACTCACCCACGTGGCCGATGAACACCACATTGATGTGCTCCTTCTTAGGTGCATCAGGTTGGGCTGGGGGCTGTGGTTTGGGTGCTGTCACATCCTCCTCCTCGTCCATGCCCTCGGAGGCACCCTCTGAGGCGGCCTCGTCCGGGCCCCGATCCCTGCAGCCCCCCGGCTCCTCCTCACTGGCCTCCTCTTCTTTCTGGTCCCAGGGCTGTTCTGTGTTCATGTCTGTGTCACCATTCTCCACTGGAGCTAAACACACACACCAAGTACCAAGTATGAGAGAGGCACTTCAGTGCATAAAACAGTACATACAGGTGTGGGGATTACCAAGTACGTCATCAGTCAATATCCCCTCATTTGTCCCTGAAGGGCAATTACAGCACATTGAGCAGTAAAGTACAAAAACAGAAAAGCTCAAACTGATGTCTCAGTGGAGCTCAACAGGTAGAGTAATCAAATCCTGTATTAGACCACTTTGAGGAGAGTAACATCCTTCAGGACAATGGTGTCCCTCCTCTGTCCTGTGAACTTGGAGACAAGAGGAAAGCCTCGCCTAAACCTCCCTCTCACTCTTATTCCCTCTTGAATGTCTTCAGCCATATTTTGGGTAGAAAGTCTGTTGCATTTTGGTAAAAAGTCTGAAGCATATCAAAGATAGCTGATTAGTATAGCTAGCTCCAACCACGGTTGCCATGGATACTGGAAAAACAAACTGCCACAATCACACAAGCCAATAGCCCTTAAACTTCTTCCTTTGAACTTGCACAAGTTGAAAATCCTAAAATGTTAAATTAAGAAAAATTTTAAAAGTTTAAAAGATGCTCAGTGTGTCAGCCAGTCAGCCACAAGAGCAGCCAACCATGACCAGGGCAACCACACGACAATAAAAGCTGCACAATATATTTCGCAATCAAGTCAAAATTATATCTGTCCTTTAGACCTCTACAATCTGAAATGCATGGGACTCTAGTTCATCAGTTCAGATTTCAGTCTCAGATGTGAACGTTCTTGGAGCTGTTTACAATTTGTGCCGTAAACAAGATTCTACCAAATCTAGACTGATCACAACTATTACTTCTACTTCAAATCTCCATTAGTGCATCTCGATATATGAACATAAACAATACAGACTTTTTTTTGTCTTCCTCCAAAGTCTTCCATCTGCTCCAAGCCACACACTTCAACTGAGAGGATTAGCTGTAGAACTGATTCAAAAACTCCAACCATATCAGTGACAATTAGACATGACTGAATCACCATCTCTGGATGAATTGTCCACCCTTACTCTGTCATTAATATTACATGGCTCAGGGACAGTATGGAAATGTCAGTCAAACACTTGGATTTGCACCAAGCAGCTAATAACCTAGCCTCATTTGGTTAAGAAAACAGAGGTTGAGGGATTCCATGTTCTAGGTACATGAGGACCAGTGCTGAAAGCGGTGTAAGTGAGTTGGCCCACACTGCAGCAGGGTTCTCAAAATCAGAACATCTCACACAGGTTTAATAGTTTTTAGTAATAATAATAATTATTATTATTTTTGATTCTTCTGAAAAACAACTGAAACTCCTGAGTCTCAAACTCCCAAGTCCTTGGGGTATGAAGAAGAGTGAGAACAAGTGTGTCTCACCACTTGTTTCAGGAAAAATGTGTTCTCATACGCTTCACCATACATTCTACCTGTCCTGTACGGCCTGCTAAACCCAGACTGATGCATCTCTATTTTGTGTACAGACTGATATTAGAGTTCAGTGCATCAGTGAAGTGAATCATTGATTCTGCCGATATCCCCCATATTTTTCAGTCCCCTGCGATTTTTTTTGCCCTTCATTTATTTTTTTGATGTAACGGACCATGCGTGTCAGCAGTTGGTTAGTCCAACTGTCAATCACCAGTCACCAGACTCACATCATTGTAGTACTGAAGAAGTTTCTATACTGGATCCCAGGCAACCATTCATATTAAATACTGGCGACTTTAAGTACACAGAACTAAAGGATGAGGCCAGTATCTGATCGTGTCACTGTAACACACACAGTTAAAATGGAGCAGGCTTGTACACAGGGCCAAGAAGCTGATACTCACCATTGCTGTCCGACACCTCCATGTTGGAAAGGGCTTCCACCGACACTGCAAACACAAGGCTCAGGTTAGCAGTACAAGAGCAGAAGGGGGCAACAGGGAAAGCTACAGGGCATGCACAGCTTTAGAAAGTGTCCTCAGGACTGAACAAAGGCACTCTCTCTGAACAGCAACCACCCATGTAGACGTTGTCCCTGACCTGCAGGCCCTCATAAGGCCTCTCACACTCATTAATTGTCTGACCCCCACAGTCTCTAAAGGTGAAGGCACTCCTTACCAGGGACAGGTCACATTTAACCTTCTTTAACATTCAGAGAAGAGTGTCAGGTAACTTGGTTTAACGTACAAGCCTGGATAAGCTTCAAAATACAGTGCAGAGCTGGGCACACAGAATAAACAATACTAACTTAATAAACTTTTGTCCAGTTAACAAATTGGTTTTCTCCTTTTGCCATGGATTCTACCTGGACGACTAGGGGATTTTTCACACATAAACCCTTCCACGTAATAGACGGGATAATAGTGTAGACACACACACATTCAAGTGAAACCTTCATCAATGTGCCTGCTGCCTGGCGCTTTGTTTATAGTTTGTTTGCTCAGGCAGAATCACTTTGGTGTTTTGCGGAGCCTGGTCGGGTCATGGCCCGGGCCCTGCGCTCTCCTGCCCCCGGACCACAGCTCGGGGGTGACCCGGTGATGGTGGCGGATGCCGGGTAAAGCGTCAGCACTTTAGGACGACCAATCAGAGCGGACCGTCCCTCAGGCCGATCCAATCAGTACAGCCCCTGTTCAAGGCTAACGCCGGCGAAACACAACTTTGCCACAGCTACATTTCTATGACAGTGCCGGAGCGCAGAGCCCGCCACACGCACACAGATAAGCGCCATTGTTTGAGCACAGTGACGAGCCCGAGGCCACCTGAGGCGCCACAGCCGGAAACGAGGCTCTGAGAGGCGGCTAACTTAGCACCACCCTGAATACAGTTAGCAAGCGGCTGCTAAGCTAGCCCCAACGTGACTGTGGACTCACCCTCCACAGCGAGGCTTTCCGAGGGCGCACTGGCGGCGAACGCCGGCACAAACTCCGCGGCGTTCACATTGGGCACAAACGGCTTGGCGTTCACGTTGAGGCCGGTCAGGGCCGGTCCCAGCTGCCCGTCCACCTCGTCCTCTTGTTCCCAGGAGTCAGGGGCAGAGTCTCTCGGGTCCATCGTGGCTCTGGGCTTTACAACAGTCAGATGTGAACTACGCACTTCCCGCTCCGTTAAAGTGTCCCGTAGCAGCCCGGCACGGCAGAGGCCGGAGGTGTGTGCCGGAGTGTGTGCCCGGGGATGAGTGCGGGCTCCCGGCTCTCTCCGTGGCTAAAGCACCGCTCCGTGTGTGAGAACTGACTCTGAACAGATCCTCGACTCAGCACTCAGAGACCGAGCCAGTCCGCGTGAGCTAATGCGGTCAGGCAAGCACACGCGGGGGCCGCTGGGAAGTGGAGTTCTTTCATAAGCCTAGCTTTTACCGAGCGTAGCGTCGGAACAGTGCTAAAACTACAGCTCCCAGCGGCCCTGGGCCATGTCAACACGTCCTGACCTTTTCCGGAACCGCACTTTTGACTCACGTTTTGTTCAGAGAAGTCATCTGTTTTCACTGTGGAACTATGCTTTTTACTTCCAGCTATCTGAAACTTTATTTCTAAACTGTAGCTTTCCATGATTTTAAATTTAAATTGAGCTCTATGGGTGAAGCGAAGGCGTTTAATTGTGCATGTTTTTACAATTTAGTTTTTAAATTTTAAGGCTAGGTTTTTTGGGGGCTATTCATAGTTATATAGTTCAAGTCAATAAAACCCCATTATAAATAAAGAAGCAAAATCACCAGAACTACACACCTTTGTTAGGCATTTTCTTGTATTGGAAAACAGAATCATTTAAATACAATCATACATTTATAAAAGTAAGGATATTATTCAATAACACATCTTTCTAAACCTTTAAATAGTTAAAATAACGATTTGGCTTTTAATTAAAATAATACATTTCTTTCACACCATAGAACATAAAACATAAAATTAAATGTAAACAACCAAATTAGACCAGATGAACGTTTTTTACAGTGTTTTAGACTAGTTACAATTTTATGTGTACATTTTATTACTTCATATAGGCACCTGGCAACGTAACACTCACAAAGGCCCAAAGACTTTAGCCAGACCAGTTCTAGGAGAAGCTTAGTGTCATTTATTGCACAATTACATATATTCTTAAATCAAAATATTACTCGTTTATGGACAGAAATGGCACCGACAACGCATTGCAGCAGAGGAAAGGTTGCGAGTAGTTTTATAATTTAAGGCCCTATATAACAAAAAATAATAATATTTGGATATAATTTATGCAGTATTTTCAATATTATACACTCATTAACATTTCTTTTAGCTTGTCTGTCACAACTCCATAATTAAACTGTGATTAGTGAAAGCAGGATTGAGCAGAGGTGGGTAGGACTCACTAACCATTTACTTAAGTAACCTATTAAAAAAACATCATGCTTTTAAGAGTAACTTTCTTGCTGTATACCTAAACTCTTACTTGAGTAATATTTTCACTGAAGTAACAATACTCTTACTCCAGTACAATTTTTGGTTACTATACCCACCTCTGGTAATGAGTACTTTGACATAAAATCAATTTATGTCAAATGTCTTAAGTTAAAATCTTAAGGTTTAAGATTGGGCCAACGGGGGCAGAGACCAAGAAATGCCCTTACGCATATATAACTGTTAAAGCTGTGCTCTGTAAATTTTCTGGAGTAAGATACTCCACCTGCCTCCATGGAAGTGTTATTGCTTTCCCTGAATTGTTTAAATGTATGGCATAAAACGTGTCTAACTAGGCCAAGTTGCAGGTCAGATCTGTAGAGAGGTGATCCTGCTCTTAGTAACACCTTTTTTTTAAATTATTATTATTATTAAGGCATCTCTGAGCTTACATACATGGGGGTGGCAGTAGCTCAGTTGGTAGAGCATTTGCCCACTGATCTAAAGGTTGGTGGTTCGAATCCAGCTCTCAACATAAACATCACAGGTCCACTGACCCACAGGTTGGCTGGTGTGATTCCAGCTCCCACAGATGAATGCTGTCGTTGTGTCCTTGGGCAAGACACTTAACCCACCTTGCCACACAGTGTCTGCGTACATTGGTGTGTGAATGTGTGTGTGAATGGTTCTTTGTTGTAAAGAGTGCCTTGAAGGTGGAAAAGTGTGACCATTTACCAATTTACTATAGATATACATAAACATATTCTAGGCAAAGCAATGTCATCACCATGAAGACAAGCGTACCATCCTCCAAAAAAGTTAAGCAATGCACCTTTAAATAATTCTACCATATTTGACCCTGTTGCAAAAATTCCTTACTAATTCCTAGCTAATATTTGCCAATTCAGTGGAGTGTCCAGATCCATTACAAATTGTATTCAAGTGGACAGGTTTAATATTCACACTTAAAATAGTAATGTGCAATATAACATTTAGCTGTAATAAGCTAGACAAATGGCATGACTCCGCAATCCTGTCTTTATCTGAATGTACTGGTGTAATGTAATGTAGATGTAGATTATTACTGCATAGTGTGTTTGCGAAGCATTCATGAGCTCCGTGCTTGAATCAATAGAAACCAGTGTCACAATGCCCCACATGGTTCAAATGTCAACAGACCATCATCACGCTGAAGAGAAGGCAGGAAACACAGAATCTTAGCAAAATTTATAACTTGAAGAAATAAATGAACATAACTTTTTTTTTTTTTTTTTGATTGGTTAGTTTGCATTTTCCCTATAACTGATTTTATCAATGAGCCACACGAGTATCCTGGTTATGATCAGGTTTTTGGAGTATCCTGACGACGTCTCCTGGATGAGCCAGTATCCCGGTGGTGAGTATTCAGGATACTGTGGCATGTAGACACAGTATCCTGAGTTCTCAACACTGGTGCTGTACTGAGCATGTGCAAACTAAAGTAACATACAGTAGGAGCAGTTACTTTCCCAAAACGACTCAAACATCTGACACATGGTACTATTTTACAGCATGGGTTCTCGGTAACAGTTATGAAATGACCTAGTGTGATGTCACATTTTCCAATCAGGAAGTAAAATTTCAAATCTAAAAAAAAAATGGCCAATGGGAAAGAAATGTAATTTAAAAAAAAGCTTCAATATAATGAACTGTGTAAAATTACCGTATTTTCCGGGCTATTAGACGCTCTGGATTTTAAGGCGCACTGGCATTAAATGGTCTATTTTTGAACTTTTTTCACAAATAAACCGCACCGGACTTTAAAGGAAACACAACAGTGTGATGGGTGAGTGGTTTTGTTTGTTTGTGGTGTTCACGGTGACTCTGGACTTTGTTGCAGTTGTGGCGTGTAGGGAGGGTGCTGTCTGGGACCACTGGATTGTCAGCGTGTTCGCAGTGACTCAGTTGTTCAGTGGTGGCTAGAAGTGGCACATTGCACTCGTTTTTTCGGTCCGTTCCTCGGCGGCGTGGAGTGATGAGTGTGGCTGTGGGTGTTTTTCGCTGTGCGGTCACTGTCTGACTGTCCATGTGTGTTTGTGTGTTCTGGGGGTGGTGCGTCTTTGTAGTTTACTGAAGTCGTGCTGGGACACCAGAGTGGATTCATGTATAGGGACGCTCTGGATTGTGGGGTGCGCAGTTGTTTTTTGATGGGGTTGGAGGCTTAAGAGCACACCCTATAGCCCGGAAAATACGGTAGTAGTCCAAACAGTTACTTTAATACAATCTCCTTTTAACACTATGGCTAACATCTGTGGCTGCCTGCTGTCTGTTCCTTTTTAACTTAAATGGAACTTGCTAAAACATACTAAAAAAAAAAAAAAACATAAGTTGGCACATTTATCAACATGTTTAGCTCCTTGTCATATCTGTGCCATGGTTGCCATAGTTGCCACTGTAAATGTCCAGGATACTCCAGGATTCCTCATGTATACAGGGATATGATGAGTATCCTGTTTTTTCTGAGTCCACATACATATCATATTCAGAAGAGTACAGAAGTCATAACCTGGACACTCGAGCGCATGTAAATGGACTCATTGTGAAAACAGTCACAGAGGGCTACAGAAGTTTAGCTGTAGCCACCAGTCAATAAAAACAGGTTTAGAAAAGCGTGTGTGTTAACTTGGACAAAGAAAGTAGTGCAAACGTTTCTGTTAAAACTCCACTAACCTGCTGCTGTATGGGCAGTGGGGAAGAGGAGTGTGGTGGGTGGGACAGAAGCAGAGGGTGTATAGAAAAAAAAAAGTCCTCTACTGAATTTATTTAAGCGAAATGTGTCTGAATACAGATATATTGTATAAGCAGCTCTCGAGGTCAAAGTACGTCTGCTGTGTACTGTATTGTCTGCATCTAAAATTAGCTTTACTATTGCAAAAAACATTGCAAAGAATAATTAGGATGCTCAGAATGGTTAAGGTAAGAGGAATAACTTTGGACCACTGTAAACTGTTTAAAATGAACAAGTTCAAGTTTTTCATGTTTTTAAAATAGAAAAAATCAAGAACAGAAACTAAGTTTACACTACTCTTTTTGAGAACTTTAAAAAGGACAGTTGCTCTAATATTAATATAAAAAAGCTTTGGGACTGTTTTGAATCCACCAGGAAGCAGCTCAGAATGTTTTGACACAAACAAGCTGATGATATCTCACTTGAATATGCTAAAGGCCAAACTCCTGAAGATGTCTTAAGGCTCATTTATACTGGTGTGGCATAGACTGGACCAGCCTGTACTAATACAAGCTTGGGTTTGTGGTCCTAAAATCATGGAAACATGTTTGTTCCATTGAACTGTGCCAACCTGAGCCAGATGATGTCTAAGGGAGTGTTAACTCTAAAGCTGGGGCATGCTGCATATCTGTGTTACATTTAGTTGTGTTTATAGTATACAGTATTCCAAATATAGAAAGCATAACATTTGACCTGCTTATAACTGGGAGTATAAAGGAGTCTATCTTTTGTAACTTGGCTGCTTCTGGAGACTGGAGCTGCCTGGTCTCACCACACTTCCCTCCCCTCCCTCACACAGCTGATGTAAAGCCCCCTCTAGCAGTGGGACTGGCAGGCAGGAGCTCTCCTGAACTTTGGTTCTGCTGGTACACTTCAGGATACACCCACATGCTCCTATCTGGCTCTCTGTTCCATCTGCTGGTCTGTGGAAGTCAACGCGGCCTCCCCCTGGACAGAGCTGTCCCCTTGGACAGAGCTCTCCCCCTGGACAGAGGAGCCTTCGTCCTGTCCAGAGGAGCTTTGATCCTGGAGGGGGTGGTCACTGAGGGCAGATGGGATCCTCACAGGGGTGGAACTGCCCTGGCTCTGCTCCTCAGGCTGTCCCATGGAGCTAGTCTCACTGAAGGAGTCTGCGCCTCCACCTGAGCGCCTGAACATCTTCTGACCTGTACCACATCACAAATGTACATGACCAACTAATACACACTGGGGCTTTAGTTAACAAGGAGTGTCTGAGTGTAATGAGGCAGTACTGCACTACAGTGCTACATCTATGTTACACATTACTTTGTCACATACCAGGCAGTCTCTTGGCAGAGGAGGTGGGCGTGTCCTGGGTGGGGGTGCGACCGCTCTGTGCTTTGGTGGAGTAGGTGGTCTCACTAGAGTCCAGCGAGCCTAGAACAGAAGCTCATGTCAGGGTCAGGCCCACAGGTCAGTCCTTTACCTCTCTGGAGCCTGCAAGCCTACCTGCTGCCAGGTTGAAGCTGCTGCCTTTTATGGAGCTCTGCAATGGGGAGAACCAGTTCAGCACAGAGCCCACGATGGGAAGCTGTCGCAACGCCCCCTGTGGACAAACGGCATTAAAAACATGAATATTTAGAAATATTTCATTATAAAAGAAAGAAATGACTTAGATTTGGCCTCACCTCCTCCAGGAGCTTCTCCTCACTGGCCTTCTGTAGCTGCTGCTCAGCCTCCAGGATGCCTCTCCTCACCACCTCACTCATGTTCTCCAGAAGCTGGACACAAGAGCTGGACACTCACACAAAAGGGATAGAGACTAGAGCATGGTGCAGGAGGACACATGAGGGCAGATATACATACCCGTCCACTGTCATCAATGTCCCTCCCCATGGCAGCGATGGTGTCCAACAGTGGCACAACATCCACGTCATCAGAGACCATGCCCACATACACACAGACATTATCTGTGTCCTCAGGACCTGCACATAGGACAGTAAGACAACGTGTGAGGACAAAGTGTGGACAGGACGACAGAGGCATCCTGACGGGTGACTGACAGTGTGGGGACAGAGGACAGAGGTCTCCCAGCGGGTGACTGACAGTGTGAGGACAGGGGAACAGTGTGGGGACAGAAGACAGAGGTCTCCCAGCGGGTGACTGACAGTGTGAGGACAGGGGAACAGTGTGGGGACAGAAGACAGAGGTCTCCCAGCGGGTGACTGACAGTGTGAGGACAGTAGAACAGTGTGAGGACAGGAGAACAGTGTGAGGACAGGAGAACAGTGCGAGGACAGGAGAACAGTGCGAGGACAGGAGAACAGTGCGAGGACAGGAGAACAGTGCGAGGACAGGGGACAGGAGAACAGTGTGAGGACAGGAGAACAGTGTGAGGACAGGAGAACAGTGTAAGGACAGGTGCACTGTGCAGGACAAGAGGACAGTATTATCTCAGAGGGTGACTGACCTGAGCAGAAGCTGATGTCTGGGTCCAGCTCCTGTAGTCTCTTGAGCAGCTCACGGTTGATGTGCGCCCCCTGCTGCCTCCTGCGCTCCTCATCCAGCCCCTCGCTCTGAGGCTCATACCTGCACATGTTTACAATCGCACGTTATGCTTTCAAACGTTTAATGTCATATTCTGGTAACAGGGCACTATGGAACTTTTTCTTGTGGAGGGTCTGCAGCCTGCTTGTCTCCATGGAAATGTTATTGTACTTATATACTTATATCAGCCTTAAATAAAGCCAGAGAACTCTATGTGCTGTGGGATGAACACTGGAGAAATCTAGTTTTTTGAACCAGAACAATTCTGTCATCACTATTTGGAGTTCCTGAAAGACGGGCAGATGCAGCCAAGTGCATGTCTCTTACCTCAGCATTTCCAAGCGAAGGGCATGAGGACCCCTGGAGGTACTAGAGCACTAAACAGGGATTACTTGATTTCACAAAAGAAAGATGGTATTGGAAGGTCATATTGCTGGCTTTCAGATGACATAACATTCTATAGGCCAAAATTATGGTCAGATACCAGATGGGGGGGCAGGTAAATGAATATTGTTCAATTGCAGATTTTGGTTGTAATATAGCATGGTCATAGAGATGATCAGGGTCCATATTTGGGACTTTACCTTCTCAATATTCCATGATAAATATAATAATAATGCATCAGTTTTATACAGGACACTCATAGACGCTTTACAGAGCATTATTCATTCACTCCAGACCCGGTGATGGTAAACTATTACTGTAGCCGCAGCTGCCCTGGGGCAGACTGACGAAAGCGAGGCTGCCAATCTGCGCATTCAGCCTCTCTGACCACCACCATCACACACAAACACTCTACTTTCATATTAAGCAATGTGGGTGAAGTGTCTTGCCTAAGGACACGACAACAGTTTTTATGACTGGTGCCTGTGGCTCCTGAATTCCCCAGTGTCTCCCATCCAAGCACTAACCAGGCCCAGCCTTGTTTAGCTTCTGAGCTCTGACGGGATCAGGCTTTGACCAGCTGGTATGGCCATGATAAAAGTACAATGTAACTGATAAGAAAAACAGACTCTTGGCCCCCATCCGGCACTGTGACCTCATCATGATACCATAAATGGGGCATTTAAATGTGAAATAGTTTGTAGTGCATCTTTTATCCTTAAGAATCTTTCTGCAGGATCATTTTGCCATAAATGTTATTATATTTGTTACAGTTATATAACTTGTACTAGTAGACGGATTTATAATGACTATAAACGGGGGTACTGTTAACAGGGGGTACTCAGAGTGTAAGACTCAGGGGTACTCAGAGTCAGAAACATTGCTTAGGGTGTACTTCAAGATAAAACAGGTTGGGAACCACTTTGTTACCTGACAGCCCCCAGCCCGGCCCAGCCCCTCTCCTCCAGGTATGTAAGCAGGGGCCGGTGCCTGAGGGCCTGCTCTCTGAAGTCCTGTCTGAGGGCCACCGTGGAGCTCAGCAGAGGGAGCAGCTCTGCCAGTCTGTCCACTAGTTCCTGCACATCCTCCGCCTGCGTCCCCAGCACTGAAGCCACAGGAACACAACACACTGTTACAACTGGGGAGGGATTCAGGCAGTAGTCTGTGCAGTGTGAATAACAGTGGACTTAGTACACAGCCCTGGGGGACATCTCTGCTCAATGTCCTAGTGATGAAGTCTTGTTTCCTGTTCTTATAGACTGGCCTGAGATGAAGATGATTTTCTATTATTACTCAGGTTTCAAAAAATGTTTACCCCTGTTTTGTTTTGTTGAGTTTGCCATCCAGTGCTCAAATAGATCACGTTTAAAATTTCAGAGGTGGGTAGTACTCAGATACATTTACTTGAGTAACTTTTTAAAGAACTGTACTTTTGTAACAACACACTTTTAGTCCTACTGTACAGTAACAGTACTCTTATTTGAGTAAAAGTTGTGGTTTCTCTTCTCACTGTGAGTGAGTCTGCAAGTGACAAATCTTTATGTTGACAATATGAAATGATTTGTGGTTCTTGCACTGCTCCTTCAAATATTAGTTTTGCGTCTTTCCTTTAAGTGGTCCAAGATAACTTTGTACTTCTACTTGAGAAGTAACATTACTCTTGAGTAAAATAATTTGCTCCTCTACCCACCTCTGCTCGTAGTACACGTGTTGTACATGCGTGTGCAGTAGCGTGTGCAGTTGCGTGCGCAGTTGCGTGCGGAGTTACGTGTGCAGTTGCGTGTGCAGTAGCGTGTGCAGTTGCGTGTGCAGTTGCGTGTGCAGTTGCGTGTGCAGTTGCGTGTGCAGTTGCGTGTGCAGGTACCTGCCGCTGTGAGGAGGGGGCTGAAGCGGACACAGGCTCCTTCGTCCTCGAGCTCTACCACGTCCACCCCACAGGATGGGACCAGGCGAGCGAGCTCCTGTCCCAGCTAGGGGGGAAGCACACACAGCGGTCAGACCCCCACGCCAACAGCACCCATTGGACCCACTCACACACAACACTCGCGGGACTCGGTCATTCATGATAGACATGCAGGCTGAGCTCACCCATCTGTTGAAGGTATCCAGCACCTCCTTCTCTGGGGTACAGTAGCTCTCCACAGATCCCCCGTTGGACTCTGGAGCGTGGACATTTCAGTGATCATTCAGGATCATACAATCAGAGTCATTTCAAACTTCTGGACTAAGGAAAATACTTGATACTCAAGTATTTAGTAATAAAACTGTAATTAAGTCCACAGTCCCAACAGTGATGGAGCTTATCTCCTGTGGGACTCAGACAAATCAAACATTTCATATGAATAAAAAAGTGATTCACTTTTAAAGGGAACTGTGTGTTTGATTTCAAATTCCAAATATGAATAAGAATTGTAATGTTGATTTATACTTATTTATAAAAACATTGGACATTTTGGGCAAGTTTTGGTAAAAGATGATTAAACAATCAGAAAGCAGAATGAGCCTCACATGAGTCTCTCATTTGGGTGAAATCCAGTTGGTTTGAACCCAAAAGGCCTCTCTTTGATCTGAATGGTCACTATCTAAACCCCAGTTATGAGTCAGTGCTAGTGCAGCCTCTGCAGCTCAGGGAGGGAATTTTGGAGATTCTGAGCTTTCACATTAGGCCTGTCCATATACTGAGAATGAGGCAAACTTGGATGTCTCTTTGTCTGCAGGTGAAGGCTCTGGCTGTGCAGCTTCAATTGTAACAAAAAAAAAAAGACCTTCAACAGTGCAAGCTACATGCAGTTCCTTTAAGTGATGGACAATTACAATGAAGGAGCTACCACATTTTTTGTGTCATACAATGTTATAATAAAGCATAATTAAGTAATAATTAAATTTGAATGACTGCACATTTGGGAGTAAAGCTACAGAAACAAACTACACCAAAGCACACATGGAGCGTCTGTGTGTGTGATAAGGCCTGTTCTGTGGAGTCAGTCAGGGCTTACCAGTGCACCTGTCTGGGCTGAACTTGAAGAGGACCACAGGAGAAGTGAGCTCATCCTCCACCTGAAAGAAACACACACACGCACACGCACACAAACACACACAAACACACACGCATACACACAAATTGGGTTGCATGTCTTCTAAGCTCTATAATCACTCATATGTTCGACTGTGGGGAGGAGATCTGGGGCCTGCTCCACTGGCCTGCATGCACTATTAGTATGTTAGTATCATGTACCATGTTCAGTTTGGGTTCATGGGAAGAAGCTCTGTGGATCTCACATGTGTTATGAGCGGCGCCATAAACAGGAGAGGCATGGAGTCCTGAGCACGTGCTGAGAGCTTGTACGTGTGGTGGAGGAGGTGCATTAAGCTGTATTTGGTCACAGTGCAATGAATCGAGCTAAAGCTGAATGAGGTCACCGCAGCAGGCTCATGAAACTGTGTCAGAACTCATAATGTTAACGTACAAATGTTTAATTTTTATAAAAGTAAACATACGGTATAGTACACACTACTGGTCAGTGAGACAGCATTTGGGATTAAAGGTTCAATATTGCACAAAATTGACTCTTGTGAGCTTTAAGACGTGTTAGAATGCTGTTACCTCCTCAAAAACATGCCTGGAGTTGTATTTTGTTTCATTCACACATGTTTGAGTAATCTTTTATTACTAGTCTGTCAACATCACCAAAGCTCAAAATGCTCTGTTCCACCTTGTGATGTCATGAAGCTGTAGTTTTCAAGTTAACAGCTCCTTTTACCTTTAGTTCAGTAGAGTTTGGCAGTTCAAGAGCTGAAATTATCCAAATGAAGGTGTATGGAATTTAAAAACACAGTGGAGCACTTCCTGTATTACCAACACGAGGTGGAATGGAGCGTTTTCTGTTTGAGAGAAGAGCACAGGCTAAACATGCAGGATTTGTGTGTTGCATATGTGTGAAAGAAACACAACACAACTCCAGGTCTGTTTGTGATGAGGGAACTACATTCTATTCAAAATTGCATGATACGAGCCCTTTAAATCAGTTAGTTGTGCGCATTCAGAGAGTCCTTCCTTTCTCTCAGGTTGTCCTCTAGGAATCATAGAACTGTAATTAAACCTTCCATTAACACAGATTTGAATCCTTCTGGCAGCAAATTAAAGGTACACTCAGAGCATACTGCCTCAGCTGTCACCAACACAAGAGGGAACATTAAAACCACTGGCCTCCTGCACCTCCGATGGACCAGTGATACACCAGTGAGCAAACGCCATGTGGGTTTTCAGGGGGATTCTTCAGGAGCCAGAAGATTATTCACATTATAAACAGAATTCAGATTCAAATGTAAATAATATGTTGTAGAAATAAACTGTTTAGTGCCACACTCAAAACTAGACTAAAATCTATCAACTAAAGAGACTAATAAAACATGTCAAAAGGGCTCCAGGACACATTTACACCAGTTCCATCAGTGTACTGTTCAAGAGCTCTGATTATTCAAGACCTCTGTGATTGTTCAGGATTATTTTGTAATTATTCAGGAGCTCTGGATATTCAGGACCCTCATTTTGGCATGTAAACTGGTTCAGTTTACTTCTACTTTATCTCCTAGGTCTTATTATTCATGAGCCATGTGGTTATTCCATGTAAATCTTCAGGAGCCATGGGATGGGAGCGGAGCACCTCTGGTGGGCCTGGCGCTGATGGCAGTGAGTGAGGGCGCGCAGTGCGAGGGGTAAAGAGACTAAATCCCACCTACAATAGACAGCAGCACAGAGCCCAGAACATCCCTCACAGATGCCCCGGAGAGGGGAGGCCTCGGGGACACTGCAGCCTGGAAACAAGCAGCCCGCGCTCACTCTCATCCCCACACTCCACACACACACAGACCCACGAGCAGGAGCAGGACAGGGGGGCTGGAGGACTGACCTGTCCACACCCACGCACCCTTGTGTTGCCCCCTCACCGTTTGGTCACTGCGTCCAAGAGAGCAGACGCCAGTGAACTAGTCTAAACTACAGCGGCACAAGTCTAGATCTGAGGTGGCTTTACCATGCTCAAGGCTTCCTCTAGAGACACCTGTGCCTCCAACACGTCCTGCGGGTTTAAGGCACTTGTTTAGGCAGCTCGTACAGGTCATGAGGACCATTTCAAAACTTCTGTTCATTTTTTGGTTTGATTTGTGCATGTTAGACTGATACTGTCCTTCTGAACAAACCAGAATGCTTCACTTCCACTCTCTATGTAACTGTAAAAACCCTGAACTGTAACGCATGAACGTCACATGGCTAGATCAGCAAAGTAATCTAGATTATGGAAAAAAGCCTTGTAAAGCCTAAAATTATATTCACTTTTTTAATTGTAAAAAGTAGTAATAAAACATTAGTGACTCACTGAAGTTTGGATGGATGACAGAGGTTTGAGTTTCTCCAAGAGCTGCTGACTCTGAGGAGACAAAAGACAGTTAAAGATTCCATTGCCAAATAGATTGCTGTTTTTTTATATTAGCAAACAAAGCACAGAATGGATGTTGTCACTAATAAAAACCACCAGGGAAGACATTTGTGTCAATCTGGAGGTCAGACTGGAGGACAGAACAGTTACCAGAGTCGTAGCATGTTGGATCCTCTGCACGATGCCGCTGTGTCCCAGGTACTGCAGGGACAGCCACAGGGGAAGGGCCCTCAGTTTCTCCAGGGGCCCACTGGACATGAGGCCCGCGGACAGGGACTGAAAACACCACAGTGCAGTGAGTGCCCAAACTTTTACAGGTTGTGTACAACAGCACTTCCAAAAATCCACTTAGAATCTGACACTTGTAACCAGGTGATTTTGGTGAAGATTTATTTTGGGCATGTTAACATTCCATTAATGTAAATGCAATCACTAAATTAGGTTATTTTAGAGATCTGAGGAGGGACTCTTTTGTCCTCAGAGCTTTCCTCACTGGATCTGCCGACACTACCTGTTGAGCTGCACTCAGACTTTTCTTTAAGTTTTCTGTCATTGTATTTTACCATGCTTGAAGTGTTCCTCAAATGATATGATGATATTTATTATTAATCAAATGATATTCATTGACTGATTGACGTGTCATACCAGTGCAGGGTCCTCGTGTCTGTACAGAGTGACAGCACACACGGCCGGCAGCCCCAGCCACAGTCCAGGGGTCAGAGTCAGGCTGTCACTGCGAGCGGCCGCCTGGGAACACACCCGAAAAGACACGCCGGATGAAACACACCGGAAGAGACACACCCGAGGAGACAAGCCGGAGGAGACAAGCCGGAGGAGACAAGCCGGAGGAGACAGGCCGGAGGAGACAGGCCGGAGGAGACAGGCCGGAGGAGACAGGCCGGAGGAGACAGGCCGGAGGAGACAGGCCGGAGGAGACAGGCCGGGGGAGACACGCCGGGGGAGACACGCCGGGGGAGACACGCCGGGGGAGGGACACATGAGAGAGGGACACTAAACATAAACATATCACATACATGATCCTGATCTGTGAGCAGTGAGCAGGCCTACCATGACCGGAGAGCTGAGGTTTCCCAGGGCGAGCATGGCAAGGTTCACCCTGAGGAGGACAGAGCACTCTTACACTTACACATGTAGGAGACGACAGCAGAAATGCCACACAGACACCAGCTGTACTCACCCCTCCACATGGAGCCACATGTTGTGCTGCTCACACAGCTCCTTGAGACGGGACAGTTTGTCTGTGTGGCCGGCGGCTGGGGTCCCTGTTCAGACACATGTGAGCCTCAGGTTAGCTCAGAGTGAAGAGGAAGAGTTTATAGCACTGAGCTAAATAAGGCAGGGCACAGTACACAATACCACAGGGAGCTGAAAGAACAGACAGTTACTAGGCAAATATTTGACCAACTTTACAGATTTATGAACAATCGTTTTGTGTTGTTCAGTATTGAGTATTGAGTATTAATGATTAATGATTAATGATTAACTCTATTAATAAACACTGCCTCCATTACACCTAATGGGGTTTATTCAAAGCACACACAGGCCGGATGTCTGGATTCCTGTATTATTAGAAATTTGCAGTTCCTGGTTCTATTTTAGCCCCACTTGATGCATGTCCACACAGAACAGGGACAATGAACATTCTCTATAACAGTGGTAATAATTCCTGTTTTGTTTAAGTTGTTGCAGCGGGAAGTAACTGAATATTTGCATAAAAATCAGGATTCTGAATACTAATTCTAAGTAACTGTATTCCAGTGCAGTTACTTTTTCATTTAGTGGTTACTTTACAGTTACTTTTTGGAATTAAAAGGAAAACATGCTGGTACTACATCATGTAATTTTGGCTTAGAACTCCACAGTATTAGTGAGATAAATAGCTAAATAGAAAACACAGCTTTTGCAGTGTGTGCATGTGTGTGTGTGTGTGTGTGTGTGTGTGTGTGTGTGTGTGTGTGTGTGTGATTTTTCCTCTCTAATTATACATAAATTAATTCATAACAAACGGGACGACATTCTATAACTAAAGACATTTTCAAAGTATTCTTATATTATATTGTATAAAGAAGTGAACTAAGGGATAGTGACATGATCCACAGCGTTCAGCTCCAGTCAAATGAAGTTCACTGAGGACGGCAGTTATAGAAGTGAATTTGGAGCGAAGTTCCAGATTAGGAATTGGAATTGATTTATGGACAAAATAGAGAAATAAAAACACCAGGATCATATGGTTAATGCTAGGGGTGTGCAAAAATATCGAAATGATCCAGTATCGATATACCACCAAGGGTACTTTTTGGTATATTTTATGCAATTATTTTGTTACAGCTACAGTTTTGTTGTTTGTTTAGAGGAAGGAAACTCATTTGACACATTTGACATTTTCACTGTTTTGATGAGTAAAATGTGTTTCATTTGAACTTTGCACAAGAAGTGGTTTAACCAAGACCTTTAGTATCACAGACATCATTCAGCCATTATTTTTTACTGAACCATATCGAATCGGTTTGAACCCAAAAGTTCACTGTATTGAGATATGTATCCAGGTATGTATCGTATTGCCAATGTCTTAATGATGCCCAGCCCTAGTTGACAGCAACACTTATAGGTGTTTTTCCAGCGTTTTTTTTTTAAATACAAAGTTGTAGCCAGAGTTGATGGAGCTGCAGACGTGCCCATGGTCACTTCCTATTTGGAATGCAGCAGCTAGTGGTTTAGCTCTGTCCATTTATATATACAGTCTACAGCAGAGACACAACACTTGTGTGTGTGCGTGTGTGTCGTGGGTTGTGCACCTGCGTTGGCGATGAGCAACAGAGGCAGTTTCCCTGTGTCCACATCCTCTCGCACCAGTTTGTCCAGCAGCGCCACATCCTCAAACACACACACAAAAGCTAAAGTCACTGGTTAGGAAATGAGATCAGAACTAATAAAGCTAAAGCGCATGTGTGTAATAGTGCCTAGTTAGTAATTTGACTAAGAAATAGGTCGATACTTACTCCTAAAAAGACCCTAACCCTGTAGTTTAGTAGCCTTGATGGATCAGATCCTTGTGAAGTCACTAACTGCTAACCTACAGGGTTACCATCTCTGTTTCAGTCGTGCTACAGATATACATCTGTGTGAGCCTGTTTAGTAGTTTCGACGTGTACAAGTGTGGACCTACCATCTGGTGCTGGGAGCCAAACATGGTGTTACAGGGGACAGTGCAGAGGCTGGACAGAGGCAGGCCCAGCTGAACACACACAGTAAACACAAACAGAAACGTGTGTGCTTTAGGGCTTCATTTCAACACCATCTTCATAATAACTGTGTGCAGGGTGAAATGGAGCTTGTGTACCTGGCTGCAGAGGTGCTGTCCCAGGCCCGGCCTGCAGGAGGCGCTCAGGTAGATGACGGGCTGTTTGGAGGTGAGCGCCCCATAGCCCTCAGAAGGGTACTCCTCATAGCGAGCGTGGAGCACCAGCCGGCACACGCGCACCAGGCCGTCCCTGTCATCCTCGTGGAAGTACGCACACGCATTCTCATACCTGACACACAGCAGGGACAGGGCTTAGTCCTCATAGAAGTACACACACATGTATTATCATACGTGAAACACCGTGAGGACAGGGTTTACTCCTCTCAGCTTTGGACAGTGAAACAAACTGCACAAGGTGTTTTACTTGCTCAAATGAGTATCTAGTTTTGATGCTAGTTTTAGCATTGTTTGGTATCTGATTTTCAGTACTTGAGTTCAGTTTGGTCCTCACTCCCTTTGTTGCATATCAACCCAAGCTCAAACATGGCTGTCCAGTCAGATTTGGTTCTTTTGGTTTTGCAGTTATTTATGTGTTCTTGTAAGCCGTCATATTTGTTTTGATATGACAGCTCTTGCACGTCTGTCTCCACCAGGGAACACACTCACTTGTTGGTAAAGTATTGGGGAAGTGTGTGTTAGCTGAGCCGCAGTGACGATCATCAGTGTTTAGCCTGTGCCTCACCTGAAGAGTCTGCAGAGCCACAGAGTGCTGTCGGACAGGACACGGGTGGCTATGCTCCTCAGCCTGTCCCGTGGCAGGACGGAGATGTACGCCGCCAGACTATGCCCCAGTAGAGCCATGTGAGCCTGCTCGCCCACCTGCTGTCCTTTGCTGACCACACACACACACACACACACACACACAGAGGTTTAGCTGACACAGTACAGTGCGGCTATCTACAGAACAGCTCTTAGTCTGGACTCACTGTGTCTGGGAGCTCTCCTCTTCCTCCTCTTCATGAATGAGGTGATGAACCAACTGCAGGATGGAGGTCACGTCCTGACCACTGTGCACGCACACACACGTACACACACACATCAGGGTTATTTCTTTTGTGTCCCAAAGAAAATAAAATTCTTAAAATGTGGGTGTCTTACTCTCCCTGTAGGGGTCCTGGGATACTGCGACTGCGACTGCGCCTCCTGTCTGTGAAACCATCCATCTCCCTGCACACACAAACACACACGAACACAGAGAGGCCATGAGTTGAATAAGAGTGGAACAGTGGATGGTTACTTCACAATAGTCATTCACTGCTGCAGTATTTTCCATTCTGTGACAGTTATGGAGAAGGACCTGCCTATGAACTCAAATTGACTGTGTGACTCAGAAACTTGTGGCCATAGCGGCTTGTCATAGTCTGATCTCATCAGATCTCAGAAGTTCAGCAGGGCTGGGCCTGGTTAGTACTTGAATGGGAGACCACTGGGAATTCCAACTGCCACAGGAGGCGCCAGTTGCAAAAACTCTCATTGTGTCCTTAGGCAAGACACTTCACCCACATTGCTTAGTATGAAAGTGGTGTGTGCATGAGTGTTGGTCTGTCCCAGGGCAGCTGTGGCTACAGTAGCAATTTACAACTACCGACTGCTGAGTGAATGAATACTGAACTGTAAAGCTCTTTTGATATCTTAAAAGGTGCGTATAAATGCAATGATTTATTATTTTATTTATTTATTTATTAATAATACAATTTAATTAATTAATGAAAACTAAAATACTACTAACTAGAAAAGCACTCAGAGAGCGCAGACCTCCGCCAAGGACTACCCCCATTTTTTATATAAATTGCGATAAAATCAGTCTTCTGGATCAGATCCCGATCAGCCTTTGGAATATGAAAGAGGATCCCATTGTCCATCCCTGAGTCAAATTTCATGGGGTTTGGTCAATAATTAACCGAGATATTGAGAAACAAAATTTTTGGCCCCATTTACCACAATGTTAACTAAAATTTCAAAGTGATCCAGAATCCAGGATTTCAAAGTGAAATCAGTTCTTCCTTTTCACATTTCCAACAAATCCTGAAAATTTCATCAAAATCGGTCCATAACTTTTTGAGTTATGTTGCTAACAGACAAACAAACAAACAAACAAACGCCGGCAAAAACATAACCTCCTTGGCGGAGGTAATAATTTAGAGTTTAAATGTCTTTTGAACAACAGTTACAAATACAGCCTGTCCTGTGTCACTACATTACAGTACAAATGGCCGGGACAGTAGCTGTGGTAACCTGGAGCACCTGACACAGTCACAATCCCAATCCAAACAGAAGCTCCTGGCTGTACCTGGAGTCCAGGATCTTCATGGCCTGGCTCAGGTTGTGTCCCACCTGAGCCAGCGTGTTGTCCACCATCTCCTCTGGCTGTGGCCGTGACAATCAGTGAGAGGCCAACTGAAGGAGAGTAACAAGAAAAATACACAAAATAAGGTTAAGAGTCAAGTTAAGATTAAGGTATACTTTATGAATCCATCATGATAGAAATGCACTCTCTGCATTTGACCCATCCTCCAGTGCTGCTGGGAGAACCCATCTGAACAGTGAGCTTCTGCTGTACAGCACTTGGGACCGATCTCCAGGTGTTGAGTCAGTCTTGTTCAGGACTACCTTAGCTTGAGGCACAGGAAGAACATGCAAATTCCACATAGAAAGGCCCAAAGCCCGAAATTGAACCACCTTCTATCTGTGAGGCTCATCACTCAGTCACTGTGCTGCTTCTGTTTCCCAGAGTGTCAAAGCCTCTGAATAGTACAAGACCAGCCTTTTTAGATAGTTGTTTTGAAGGTATATGGTTTAAGAGGGCGGTAGGACTGCAGCTGCTGGTGCACTGAGGAGTGAAGCATTTTAATGCTAAAGGCTAAAAATAACTCTAGTCTATGTGGTTTACTGTAATGACTGCAACTATTTTACTGTCTATAAATGTAAAACCCAAAGTTATGGACCAAAGTCCAAAGTTATTCCTTACTTATGCTTTCAGAGAATCCACATGATTCACCATGATGAGTTTATAACTTCACAAGACCAGAGTTTTGCCATCATGTTACAGCTAACAACAAGTAGCATGCTAACAGCGCACTTTTTGATTCTTGGGCAATAAAACACTTAGAATTTGACTTCATGAGCTTATACGATATATTTGTACTGGGGCAAGACCCATTGTGCTCAAATAGGGAATAAAATAATGTACAGGCCCTTTAATTGCACAGCCCTAATGCTAACTGATTCAAGCTAAACCCAGGTCCAGGTACGTTTTTAAACACATTATAACATTATGATATTATAATATGTTAAAAGCTAGAACAGTCAGTTTTGCACAATATCTCTCTTCTCAGATACGTGTATTATCAGAGAGTGGGATAACAGAGGCCTTGGGGACATATCTGTCATATAACATACTTTACAGTTTCAGCTTTGAGTATTATGCAAACAGGAGCAGTCGAACTAACGCAGTAAAATGGTTTTCAATAAGATCCATGACAGCTCAGTCTGATACACTGTATTTTAAAAGCACTACAACAAGATACTCAAGCACAGCACTAAACAACCATCACACACAGGAGGGTGAAGTGTCTTGAAGTGTCTTGCCTGAGGACACAGCGACAGTATAAAGTGGGTAAAGTGGAAAGGCACAACCTTATTCTGGTATCACCCAACAATATTGTAGAAATGCTGCTAGTGCTTGTCCTCTGTGTTGTTACATCAGATTAATGCCTTTTTGAACATTCCAGGCAATAATATACAACTGAAGCCGTGTTGCTGGAGCCTTAACCTATGGATAGAGAACATGCACAAGTTTGTCTCATTCTGAGTACATGGACAGACCAGGCCTCGTGTGAAAGCTCCGAACTTTCAGAATTCCCTCCCTGAGCTGCAGAGGCTGCAGTAGCACTGACTCATGACTGGTGCAGGTGCTGGGGTTTAAGTAATGACCGTTCAGATCAGAGAGAGACATTTTAGGTTTAAGCAGACTGGATTGCGCCATTGAATGAGGCAACCCAAAAAACTAATTATAGCACAAACAACATTTGAACACAAAGCGGTCAGCAATGTTTTGTGATTAAGAATAAATCAACATAACAATAGTAATCAGTAAAAGCTGTATTTGATTTGAACATGTTGACATGATATCTGGGGACACAGATAGGTCATGTTAACACACAGTTCCTTTAATATGTCACCAGCTGATATCCAAATAATGCCCCTTCTGACTGGTACAGACAAGCTTGACCACAACTTGAGCAAACAAAACCGGAGCTTACTTGCTCATGAAAATGTGCCAATAATAGAGCCAGTGTGAGGCACAGACACAGATATCCTCCAGTGTGTCTGTCTGTTCAGGACAGGCACACGGTCAACTGGTTTTTCAGGATGAAGGCGTCGCAGGTAAAGGTGTCACTAATTGTGCTCTAGGGGTACAGAAGTTCACACACCAACATGGAGTTCACTTTCACAAGATCTTGGCATGAAAAACAGAGCTTGAAATGTTTGTATCATCACAACACTACTATTACTATTAGTATTAATATTAGTATTACTCACTATTAGCACAAATATCACCATGAGTTAAAGTGCACATTTTCAGGAGCCTGTGATTGTCCATGGTCCTGTTTAGGAGTTAGATTTTCAACTAAAAGATAAGAGTGACCAACTGAAAAAGTGTTCTGTAATGCTAGATGGATTTTGACTGTGATGTTTTGTGAGAGGGACTTGTTAAAACAGCACAAATCAGATCACCTGTTTGTAGTTCCAGAACCAACTCTTTCTGGTCAGATTATGTTAAAATAAAACTCTAATTAGAGTTTGTAACAGAGTAGTGTTTTAATTAGCATCACACCCACAGATAATGCTGGTGACATCAGCTGCAAAGTATTAATAGAATGTGAAGGCATTTGAAACACAGTAATGGAGACTACAATCATCCAAATAGTCGACGAGTAATTCCAATTAACCGTTGCAGCGTCCCTACTCGTAATGCAGGATTGCTCAAACATGAATGAACCAACCTAACTTCAGGAAGCACCATTACACCTGCAGTATCCTGATTATACTAGTGCATGGTTAAAGTAAATGAGTTTTGACATGTGAGTGCTGCTCCCGTCAATCTGAACACATCCTGCTCTCTGCACTCACGTCTCCGAGTCGATGGTCTGTTATTTATGAGTAATGGTCCAGTCTCTTCCTGGTCCCCACACCGGAGCATCACGCACCTGACGCGGACCACATGACCCGGCTCAGACGCGTGCATCGAGCCCGCGGAGGAGTTAAACATCCCCCGGTGCTCCGTGCGTCCTGTCGGGGCAAGGTTTGACTCCATTACCCCGTGTAACCCCGGAGCTCAGCAGCCCGCCCGCCCACCGCCGCTCCTGCCGGTGATGCGCACACATATGACCCCGTGGCAAGACCGACAAAGCACCGGGACTTACCTCTAGCTCACACACAGGCTCCGGGATGGTCCGCGCAGCCTGGCCCCGGGGCTGATCTCCAGTAGAGGCGTCGGGTTCGGCTCGGTAATGGTGGATATGTTGTGGATATGTTGCGGGAGCCGGATGAACTAGACACTTCCGGGTTTGTTAAAGCGACGTGCCTTTCCACGCTGGCACCGGTGACGTCAGCGTGTTCACGTGCTCCAGGCAAATAAGCAGGAAAATGTAGTTGAGTTTGGCAAAGTGCGCAACCCTGACTGAGGACAGTGTGCCAACACAGAGAGAGAGAGAGAGAGAGAGAGAGAGAGAGAGAGAGAGAGTGTGTGGGTATCCTTGTGGGTTATGTTTTTGCCGGCGTTTGTCTGTTTGTCTGTTTGTTTGTTTGTCTGTTAGCAACATAACTCAAAAAGTTATGGACTGATTTTGATGAAATTTTCAGGATTTGTTGAAAATGTGAAAAGGAAGAATTGATTTCATTTTGGGGGTGATCTGGAAGAAATCCTGGATTCTGGATCACTTTGAAATTTTAGTTAACATTGTGGTAAATGTGGCCAAAATTTTTGTTTCTCAATATCTCTGTTAATTATTGACCAAACCCCATGGAATTTGACTCAGGGATGGACAATGGGATCCTCTTTCATATTCCAAAGACTGATCGGGATCTGATCCAGAAGACTGATTTTATCGCAATTTATATAAAAATGGCGGTAGTCCATCAGGTATTGTCTTTTTTTCAGATTAGGTCTGATAAACCCATTAAATGTCACCTTATTGTGTTGGGGGAGTTTTCCTACCTGAATGTTCTACTGTAGGAGTTATGAATTTCTGTGCTGGTCACAGTTTGTCCATAATAAACACCATGTTCAAACCCACACATGAGTGCACATGGCACCAGGACACCCTAGGCCAGAGGTCAGAACCCTGAGGAGACTGAGGACATGGAGTGTGGGTGGACCATGTTCTCCACCTTCACTGTCAGTGCAGCTGCTCATATGGTCTCAAGGTCTCACTGAACCTGGTGGTGGACACTGAAAGTAAGGGTCAAGAAGGAGGCAGCTGAATGGTAGCAACAACCCAGGTGTGCTGCAGTCTGCGCGGGAATTGGGAGGAGTTCAGAGAGGCCATTAAGGAGGGCTACTGGTTGGTCCCAAAGAAATTCTGACAAACTGTCCAACGCCTCAGGAGGGGGAAGCAGTGCTTCACCAATACTGCTTACAGTGCAGGAGGAGAGCTGTTGACCTCGACTGGGGATGTTGTCGAATGGTAGGATTAATGCTTTGAGGATCTCCTCGATCCCACCCTCTCGTCTACTTAGGAGGAAGCAGAGGCTGAAGACTCACCATCGCCCTGGCTGAAATCACTGAGGTGGTTGGCAAGCTCTTTGGAAGCAAGGCTCCAGGGGTGAATGAGATCAGATCTGAGTGTCTTAAGTCTCTGGATATTGTCGGTCTGTCTTGCCTGACAAGTCTGCAGCATCACATGGCGGTTGGGAACAGAGCCTCTGGACTGGCAGACCAGGGTGGTGGTCCCTCTGTATAAGAAGGGGGACCAGAGGGTGTGTTCCAACTACAGGGAGCTCACTCTTTTAAGGTCTTTTTCAGGGTACTGGAGAGGAGAATTCGACCGACAGTTGAACATCGGACCCAGGAGGAACAGTGTGGTTTTCATCCCGGTCGTGGAACATTGGACCACCTCTAAACTCTCATTTGGGTGCTTAAGGGTTCGTAGATTGTCCAACCAGTCCAGATGTGCTTTGTGGATCTGTCCCTTGTGGTGTCCAGTAGAGGGTGCTCTGGGAATATGGGGTCTGGGGCCCTTCATTAAGGGCTGTCTGGTCCAGGAGGTTCCGGATGCCTCCTGAGCGCCTCCCTGGGGAGATGTTCTGGGCAAGTTCCATCAGGGGCTCTGGAGAAGACCCAGGACACGCTGGAGGGACTATGTATCTCAGCTGGCCTGAGAACCCTTCAGGATCCCCCTGGGAGAGCTGGAGGAAGTGTGCATGGGAAGGGAAGTCTGAGCCTCCCTGCTCAAACTACTGCCTTTGTGAACCGGCCTTGGATAAAGCAGAAGAAAATGGATGGATGGAAAATGGGGTTGGGGTCTTGCAGGCCAAATACACTTGGAGACTTGAGTTATAGGAGATAGGAGGTAAAAGGTAGGGGGAGATAGGAAGTAGACAGGGGGTTATAGGAGGGAGGCATAGACTGTATAAAAGAAGTGGACTAGAGTGTGATGTCCCCCACAGCATTCAGCTCCGCTCAAATGAGGCTCGAGATGCTCACAGTTAAGGAGACAATCTGGAGCCAGGCTCTATGTTATGAATAGGATTTTTTTGACGGACAAAATTGTGAAGAAAAAAAAATAAAAAATTAAAGACCAAAATAAGGAGGCTGACAGAGAGAGAGGTGATAAGATCCCAACGTAAGCCAGAGCCTGAGTCAGAAGGAGCCGGAAGAGTCTCCTGGAGCACTTCCTGTTTGGCGCGCGGCGGCTAGTGTGTTAACTATGTCCAGTCATATATATGGTCTATGGAGGGAGGTGATAGGAGCTTATAGGAGATAGGGGGTTATAGGGGGAGGGGATAGGGGTAAAAAAAAGGTGATAGGTGGTATAGAGGGTTATAGGAAACAGGAGGTAAAAGGTGGGGGTAGAAGGTGGTAGGAGGAGGTAGGGGATAGGAGATAGGGGCTAATAGGAGATATGAGGTAGGAGACAGGGGGTTATAGCGTCCCAGATGAATGAAGAGTACAAGTAGATCTACAAGTACAGCAGCCACCATCTTTGTCCATATTGCTCACAAAACCATCATAAGAGCTAAAAACATACAATGAATAAATAGCGATCCAAATAAACTAATCCAACAGTGTAACAGAATAAAGATAGCTTTTTCCCCTTTCAGCTTGGAGTTATTGGAGTTACAATTCAAAATATAAAACGATTGTACTTTACAGGAAGTTATAGGAGATAGGATGTCATTGGAGATAAGAGGTAGGAGATAGGAGATTATAGGAGATAGGAGGTTATATTAGATAGGAGGTAGGAGATAGGAGGTAGGAGATACGCATGGAAACCTCAGTCTCTAGACGGTGGTTTTGGCCCTCAGGGGAACTGAACTGGAGACCTCTAACCCACTGACTGGTTGGTAGGAGCAGGTGTAGTGGCAGGAGAAGGACAAACGTCATCCTTACTATTTTTAAGGCCCGTGTGCTTCCCTCCATGGAATTATACATATGCTTCATTTTATTTTATTTTATTTTATTATTATTTTTTTTTATCTAAGTGAATGGTGATAAAATGCATGAGTTCAAATACACATCTGAATATACGTGGCTGACTGGGCATAGTCCAGAAAATAACTAAGACGTCACATAGGGTCGTTCTTGATAACACAGAGACAAGGTTCCATTTTGAAATAAGTAGTACATTTATTTTACACATTGTTAATTGAGTTCAGAGGACATTTGCACAAATAGTTCTGTAGATTTCATTAGTTCAGTTCATTCAATGACACCAGTTGGAGCATGAGAGTCTACATTGGGCTTCACACGTCAGGATCATATTAATGGAGCAAGAAGATGGATGAGGAAATCCAGTCAATCCCAATGTACAAAAGGGCAAAGTGACAGCTCCAGCTCCCACACATCTAGAAATAAAAATGAAGTCACTTCCTTTACTCCAACATACCACCTTCACCTCACAGGAACGAGCATTGAGGAGCTTTGACAGTTGCACCACATCTCCCCTGGACCAGCCCTCACGTACAGAACACAACATAAATATGTGCACGGTCACTTGATTTGGAACAACACATACATTTTGTTTGGCAGTAACACATGTGCCTGTGGAAAAGTGACAGCAGTGCACACACAGGCAACAAGAACTAAAACCCCATAGAAATAATCAGTGTTGGGAAGATTACTTTTAAAATCTATTCCCCTACAGATTACAGGATTACATATCCCAAAATGTAGTTTGTAACGTAATCCATTAAATTACTTAAAGTGAGTAACAATACTTTGGATTACTTGACTTTCTGTAGAGAAGCAAAGATGAGGAAATCTTCACATAAGATGTTTTGTCTGCTAAAAGAAAATAAAAAGCCCAGACTTTAATAACCGTATTAAAAATATTATTGATAGAAGAGGAGGAGACACGTCTGCGCGGCATGGTTTAGTCCTGTTAAATCCTGTTTTAGTCCTGGTTTAGTCTGGGTTAGCTCTAGTTTAGACCTGGTTTAGATCTAGTTTAGACCTGGTTTTAGTCCTGGTTTAGACCTGGGTTAAAAAAAAAAAAAAAAAGGGATATAGTCCAAAATGTGAAAACGGGAAAATACCACCATGTAATCCATTTATTTCAACAAAAGTAACTGTAATCCAATTACCACTCACTGAAACAGTAACTGTAACTGAATACAGTTCCTCATAATTTGTAATCTAATTACATAACTCTGGTACATGTAATCTGTTACTCCCCAACACTGGAAATAATACATTCATATCTCCTACCTCCTATCTCCTCTTATCTCCTACCTCCTCCTGTCCCCTACCTCCTACCACTTACGTCATATTTCCTACTTCTTGTAAACCCTTAGCTCCTCCTACCTCCTGTCTTCTATAACCCTTTGTCTTGTACCTCTTGTACTTTTTCATGAGATGAAACATTCTCCATGAGCACATCTCCAGGATGCAGGTACTCAGGAAAGCCTCAGCACCTGCCTCCACATGCAGAGGACACAAACAATATTAGACCACAGGTGCAACTGCCACCACATATTTGAGTGTATTTTGGCCATAATAATGAGTGTAAGATTCACCTCTGGTATGAAGGTTGTGAGGTTTCTGCAGAGGGTTTCAGAGCAGTTCCTCACACAGGCTGCTGTTTGTAGCTGTCTTTAAACACTGTGGCATTGTTGGTTGAACTGTCTCCTCGGGCAGCCATGGGATGTAACTCCTCATCTTCTCCTCCGTCATGTCAGAGCACACTGATGGTGAATGGTCACAGTTTTATATAGTGCTTTTCAAACTTCAAGACACTCAAAGTACTTTACAACAAGGAACCACTCACACACACTCACACACACACTCACACACACACGCACACACACACACACTCACACACACTCATACACACACACACTCACGCACACTCATACACACTCATACACACACGCACACTCACGCACTCTCATACACACA